CCTATTCAGCATTTTGCATGGCTTCATTCTATTTTATGTCAGTTGGTCCACATGGGAGTGAGTTGCTGACATGCACCATGTTACTCCAGATACATCTTGTTACTTGTGTGCCGTTACATCTAGGGTACTTACAGTGGACAAAGTACACATGTTTACAAGAGTGTGTGTGCAGAGTAGTACTTCTACTGCTAATCTAGCACTACCAGGTGCTTTCTCTCCTTCCTTCACTTCGTACATGTATCCTCTTTCTCACGTAGGGAGAACCGTTTTTTTCTTTTCTTTTTATTTATTATTTAAAGAAAAAACGCAAAACAGAAAAAAGGGTAGAAATAATACAGAATTTCAAAAAATAATAAGAAATCACTACTTGATGAATTACATATTATCATCTTAGAAATAGCTGTTCAAGTTACAAAATTAAAGCATAGAAGTGGGCATTCAGACAGGGAGACTAGGAACAGTTCTGCTCAATGATCTAACAAAAACTTAGTAATATAGTAATATGGATTTTGGTATCAGAGTAATACTTGCCTCCAGAAATGATTTGGGGAAGATTGCTTCCTTTTCAATTTCATTGAAGAGTTTAAGGAATATTGTCATCAAATCTTCTCTCAGTTCAGTCATGAATCCATCAGGACCTGGGCTTTTCCTTGTTGGTTAGTTTTTAATTATGTATTCAATTTCAATAGCTGATACTGGGTTATTAAAAATTGCTATATCTTCTTGGTTGAGCTTTGGTAGTTCATATGTTTCTAGAAATCTGTCCATTTCCTCTGTTTTCTACTCTATGTAAGCAGAGATTTTCAAAGTAGGTATTCGTGATCTTTTCAATTTCCATGGGTTCTGTGTTAATTTCCCCCATTTCAGTCCTTATTGTGTGAATTTGGGTTTTTTCTTTCTTCATAACGTTAGTTAGAGATTTGTCAATTTTGTTTTTCTCTCAAAAAACCAGATTTTTGATTAATTCTTTGATTTTTTTTAAAATTTCAATTGCATTGATTTGTGCTCTAATCTTTACAATTTCCTCTCATTTATCAGGTTTAGGTTTAACTTACTCTTCTTTTTCTAGAAGCTTGAGATGAAGCATTAGGTTGTTTATTTGTGCTTGTTCTGTTTTCTTGATATGACAATTTATTGCTCTATGTTTCCCTCTTAAGACCACTTTCATTGCATCGCAAAGATTGTAGTATGTTATTCTGCATTTTCATTGAATTGTACATATTGCTTTATTTCTTCTTTAATTTTATCTGTAGCCTATGATTGCTCAAAAGGTTCTTATTTAATTTCCATGTATTTATGCAGGCTTTGCAATTTCTTTTGCCATTAGCTTCAAATTTCATTGCGCTATGGTCAGATATTATGCACGGGATAATTTAAATACCTTTGCAGTTACTTAAGAATGTTTTTTGGGCAATATATGGTTTATTTTGGAGAATGTTCCATGCGCAGCTGAGAAGAATGTATATGCTGATGTGGTTTGGCGGGATACTCTAGTATATAAACTCAAGTATATAAACATCTACTCTAGTATATAAACATCTACTAAGTCCATTTACTTACAGGTATGATTCAATTCTGTTATTTCTTTGCTGAGACTTTGTCTAGTTGATCTCTTTGTGACAATGGTCTATTGAGGTCCCCTGTTATAATTGTATTCTTGTGTGTTTGATTTTTCATGTCCATTAGTATCTGTCTTATATAGTTGGGTGCTCCTGTATTTGGTGCATATATATTTATAATTGTTAGTTCTTTCTCTTGAATTTTTCCAGTAATGAGTGTGTAGTGGCCTTCTTTATCTCTTTTAACCATTTTAGTTTTGAAGTTCACATTGTCTGCAAATAGAATAGTTATTTCTGCTTTTTTCTGGGTTCCTGTTGCATGAAATACTGTTTTCTATCCTTAGACTTTTAATCTGTGAGTTTCCTTTTGGGTCAGATGTGTTTCTTGTATGCAACATATTGTGGAATCTTGTTTCTTGATCCATTCTGTCAACCTATTCCTTTTGATAGGTGAATTGAGGCCATTTACGTTCATGGATATAGCTGATACATACTGACTCAACTGTGCCATGTTATATTCCAGTTGTTTGTTTTCTGCTTTTCCCCATTGTTTAATTGCTGTGCTACCTGGTGGTTTCTTTCTGTTGTTGTTCTGGAGATTGTGGTCATTTTTATCTCTATTTAGTATATCTTTCAATACTCTTTCTAGGGTTGTTTTGGTGGCATAAATTTCTTCGCTTATTCTTTGTCATGGAAGTATTTTGTTTCTCCATTAAATTTGAAAGAAAGTTTTCCGGGTACATTACTCTGGGTTGGAAGTTGTTTAGTTTCAGGACTTCAAATATCTCACTCCAAGCCCATCTTGGCTTGAGGGTTTATGCTGAAAAGTCTGCCATGATTCTAATAGGCTTTCTTTGATACATGAGTTGTGTCTTTTTTCTAACAGCTTTTAGTATTCTGTTTTTATGCTGTATGTCTGGGATCTTAATTATTATATGTCTGGATGTAGATTTATGTTGGTTGTGACTGACATTCTTATGAATCACTTATGTGCATATCAGATTTTTCCCCATGTTTGGGAAATTTTCTTCTATTACTTCTGTATTTCAGTTATGTCATTTGCATTGACTCTTGCATCTTTACTGATGCCTATTAGTCTTACATTGTTTCTTTTGGCATCATCTTGAAGCTGTTGGATTGTCATTTCATGCTGCTTTGTTATTTTTAAAAATTCTGTCCTTTCATAATCACTAATTGAAATTCTGTCCTCAAGGTCTGAAATCCTATCCTCAGCTTCATTTAAATGGTTCTGCCAGGTCTGAATAGAATTTTTTGTGTCTTGGATGTTTCTTTGAGTATGTTTCATGGATTCTGCTTGTTTTCTATATGTTCATTCAAGGTTTCAATCAGTTTCCTATGCTCCTGTACTTTTTTCTCTATTTCTTCTTTAGCTGTGCTCGACAATTCCTTTACTAAGGTTGTTATTTTTATCCTTTCATGGGAGAGTACTTTCTAATTTGATTTCTTCTATAGCCTCATGAAGTTTTTTTTTTTTTTTCACTCACTATCTTTTCAGAGATGTTTCGTGTGTTACTTTTGAAGTCCTCTATTTCATTGTCTCCTGTACTTGCTACTAGTGGACTAGATGTTTGAGATTTGCTTTTTTGTTTTGTCATTTTCCCCTTGTGAGTTAATATTTGGTCTCTCACTAGTGTCAACTGTTGGTAGTGGGCATCTTGGGGTTCTAATGTAAGATTGATATTTGGTCAATTGCTGGGTCCCTCAATAAGAGATGGGCCAGTCACCTGACTTTCCCCTGAAGGGCCTGTTGGGTGAGTCCTATATTCTTCCTGGGCTGACAAGCCTAATAGTATTGATGTAGGTCAGCTTTTAGTTCCTGCTATTACTTTATTTTCAGGTTATTCCAGGTCACCAAATCACCCTGTCTATCGTGTTTGTGTCAGCTGAGGCCCTACTGTGTCCCTGTTGTGTGCCTGTGTGTCTCATAAGCCCTTTTGATTTTCTCCAAGTTGGGGGAGTCCTTAATGGCACACTCCTCACCCTGCCTGATGTTTTCTGTGCAGGAAGGGGTCACCCACACTCTTGCTGGACTCACCAAGATCTTACAGTTAGTTGGAGGGAGCTTTACTCCTGGCCCTATTTACCCACTGCGCACCTCTATTTTAGGGGCATACTCACCACACTGACTGGAGCCTGCTGAGATCTTCTGTTTGAGTGAGGCAGTCACTGAATCTCCCTTCAAGCTAGCACAGTTAATCTGCTGTAGTCCAAGGTTCTGGGAGAAATGGTGGGAGCTGAAGGTGAATAGCAGTATTAGGTCCAGGAGTTAGGGAGTGTCCCTGAGGGGCCAGCAGATGTCCTGGGTCCAGGCATTCGCTGGGCACAAGCCAAGGTGCCAGGGCAGCATGGTGTTCCTCAGTGCTGACTGAAGTCACTCAGGAAGTGGGCGGCTGCGCGAGCCAAGTCTGAGGGCAGCACTCGTTCCCCAGGGCCAGTGAGAGTTGTGCAGGAAGCCTGTGGCGGCCAGACCAAGGTCCCAGGGCGGCATGGCATTCCTGAGTTCCGGCTGGAGTCAGGCCTATTTCTGGGTTTTGAGCAATGCTTCAAAGCTTCCTCAGTGCACTAGGAATCATCTGGCCCACTTTTGGCTCCCGAGTTAGACTGCTGGCAACTGCCCGCCACTTGGAGCTCAATGGGTGTGGGCCAGTTGGGCCTGCGGGGAGTCCGTGTGTCCTTTGGTGATTTCAGACACAGGGCGATGTCTTACCACCTCAGAGCAGAGTTCCAAGTTTTCCCAGTACACTGAAATTCAACCCTTGTGCAAGGTCGCGCTGGGGACTGGATTCCAGACCTTGCCTGCTGCTTGGAGGTGGCTGGGCGTGGCCGGGTTAAGCCACCTGTACCATCCTGGAATGCGCCTATTTCTAATTTGCTTTTCTATTAAACTGTTAACTTGTCTTCTACTTGTTCTTTTATTTTCTTTGTCTGGGTCAGGAAAATCACCATTCCTAATTCCAGAACATATTGGAAAAACTTATTTGCCACATAGAAGGCATTAAAAAGTATTTTTCAACTGTGTGGCAGTGTTAATTAAATTTTCAGTCAAATAGAAACACTTTTAAAACAACTAAACTTTATGTGTCAGGCTCAGAGGACTTTTGCTCAAATTGTTAACTTAAAAGATGTATGGATATGTTCAGAAATTTAATAAGTGGCAGTTTTTAAAATAATCACAAAGGAATTTTAAAATGGATTTATGCATTCAGAACGTGTTCAAAATGAAACATGCCTGTTATGAACAGTATTCAGTGCTCCTTAAGGTGTTACTCTATGTAGTTTTTTAAAGAACGCAACATCTTTCTCAAACTTGTTTGCTTCAGCCAGGCAACCAATGCAAAAGTTTTCTGAAGCTTTTGTTGTCTTCTTACCTAAGTTTAATTTTGTGTATAGTCACCTATGCCTCAATGTATGATGTTTCAGGCAGTAATTGAAGCTAAGAAGTTAATCCTGGGAGGACTTGAAAAGCCAATGAAAAAAGAGGACACTAAGATGTTTCTGCTGGCACTGAAGAATGCCCTGCTCCCAGAAGGCATCCCGCTCCTGCTGAAGCACGCAGAGGCCGGAGAAGGGTCCATCAGCCACCTGGCCACCACGGCCCTCCAGCGATATGATGTGCCCTTTATCACCCAGGAGGTAGCCTCCCCAGGGATGCAGGCAGTGTGAACAGTCGAAAGCGAACTCCTCCCCCCAAGTCTTTACTGTCCCTCTGGTGACCCCTCTCTCCTGCTTAGAGCTAGCTCTTAGATTATGTTTAAGGCTAAAGTGTCTCACACTTTGAATAATATCCTATGTCCTGAAGTATAAATGGTGAAGCATACTATGTAACTGTGAGTAACAAATGCTTTTCAGAAACGTATTTCCTAGTGCAAGTTTCAAGATGCTACTGAATTTTTCAACACTTGGTAAAAATCCTGATTAAGTATGATCTTGTTTGTTCATATAACTACATTTTAGGATGCCAGCTAAATTAAAATTTTCACAGAGCAGAGAACTTTATAAACCTCAAGATAAAGTTTCTGTGAAGAGTGTTTAACACTGAGAATTTTTTTTCTTTTTTTAGTTTGCACTTAAGCACTCGCCCTCTAACAGCTTTGTGTTGGCTATAAAGCTTGATGGATAGAGGTACAGCCTTTGGAAAACACAGACCTAGGAGTAAATTCTGGCTGCCTTTTTCTCATTGTTTGTTCTTGGGTGAGATACTTAACTGCTACCTGCCTAAAAACAAGGCTGAGATTTGAAGGAGACAGAAAAAGTCAAGCAAAATACAACTGAAAGAAATAATTTAAAATGCCTACTATAGAATCTCACACATTATGTATTGTTAGGCAGTGCTAGCCACCACTAAGTTACTTGTGGCCACATATTGTAATTATTAGGGTGTATTTTCTTTTGTGTAATGTTTTGTTTAGAAAAGAAGCTGTAATAGGCCCTGTGATTGATAGTGGTATGTTAACCAAGTCCATCCAATGTGGCAGATGTACCACAGATGATTATCGAAGTCTGTTTTCTGTTGTTATAACACAACAACTGGGGCTGAGTACTTTATAAGGATATCTATTTAGCTCAGGGTTCTAGAGGTTAAGGAGAGCACAGTGCTGATGCCCTGTTATGAAAATGATACCAAGTGGCAGGAAACACAGGTAAATGTGGCAGGTGGTGATTATGGAATAAAAATTCAGGGGTGCCATGCTCCCCTCCATGACCCACTTTTAGAAGCACTATTCCAGCTGTGGAATCCAGCCTTCCTGAGGGTGATGCTGTTGGCCAGCACTTTGTTCCCTTCCACAAGGCCTCCTCTCTCACACTAGGACCAAGCTTTCTGCACAGGAGCCTCTGAGAAGCACATTCTCCACATACAGATCCCATCCACCATGGTGTGGGATGGTGACACAGAGGAGATTGTGCTACCCACTCAGTTTTTCTGTGAAGCAAAAGCTCTTCTAAAAATAAGGTGTATTCATCTAAAAAAGGAGTAGAAGAATTCTGAGATACTTTCTTGTAATCGTTTCTTTGGTCATCGAGCCTTCCTTGTCTCCCCAGATTGCCACATGGCAATAGTGCCCTTGAAACTCCATAGATGTAGGTTAGACCAGCATCTGCCACAGTGACAAGTGGACCTCAGATTGCAGCAGGTCATCAGTTTATTTTTCATGCTGTGCTTAATGGAAGTGAGGGGTGAGGTCACAAGTTCATTGTAGTCATGGGGGAACATGGGGAGGGCACACCAGCTTTCACCTGTCTCTGCCTAGAAGTGCCCCACACGACTATGTTTATGGACAGTCACGTGATTCCACCCAATGGCAGCAAATCCTGGAGAACATAGTAACACCTATGCGTCATTAAAGATGTGCACTATTCCTGCTGAAATATCAGTTCTTAAAATCTGGATGTGCACTAAGTTTGAACATGTTATAAACAGGTGAAGAAGACCTTGAACAGGATATATCATCAGAACCGTAAAGTTCACGAAAAGACTGTGCGCACCACGGCAGCTGCTGTCATTTTAAAGAACAATCCATCCTACATGGAGGTAAAAAACATCCTGCTTTCTATTGGAGAGCTTCCCAGAGAAATGAATAAATACATGCTAGCCATGATTCAAGACATTCTGCATTTCGAAATGCCTGCAAGGTGAGATACACCACATAGCCCCTCTGCTTGCTATGTAATAATGGTTGGTCCTAGTGCTGGTGTGTGCTGTGTAAAACCAGAGCAACAAATTTCCCACAAGAGGGAAATTTTAGGAATGTCACTTTGGCAACTTGTGGTTTGAAACTGTGGGTATGACCTTTCCTCTAGGAAGCCTATTCAATCTGGTAATATATAAAGTAATGCCTCGGTTCACGAACACTTCTGTTTGTGAATGATTTGGTTTGTGAATAGCAGTGTTTGGCAAAATTTTGTTTCCCTTGGTGAACTCTGCATCAGGTGATGAACATAATCATAGCCCTCTTTCTAAGAATTGTAGAAAGAATTAAATTCATGGACCAAGGTACGACTATTACTAAATGTTAATACTGTTTTGAAATTGAATCGAATTTTTCAGTGGGACTGCGTTTATAAATAACATCACAGAATGATTAAGTCCACATCAGATGTCTTTCATTTTAACTTTTCAAATGTTAGGACTCTTTGAAACTCATTTACCACAGCTTCAGGGCATCTGCCCTGTGAGTGTGAGCTCTCAGGCAGGCACCCTCGGACGGCAGGTCACAGGGCATATCACTCTGGATGGCTCCCTTCCTGCTGCCAAGTCTGTGGCCCCACATCCAGGGATGCCGCAGAGTCAGAGGGTCAGAGAAGAAATTCACATTTCCTCTGTGGTGCACGCAGAGCACCAAGGTTCAAATTTGTGCCTTCCCCATAGAAGAAGAAAACAGATATAGGGGAGGGTGGGAAAAAAGACAGTGAAAGCTTGAACCTGAGGGAGGCAGAACCAACGGAAGAGCCAGACAGAGAGGAAACAGGGAAGAAGAGGTACCTGGGGAGGAGGCAGGAGGTCAGCCCAGGCCACAGCCACATGTTTCTAGGTGACCAAATTTGGTTTTCCGTCTTCTCTCTCGTTGCTTTGCTGACCCTTGCAGGCCCTGGGTATTTGTGCTGCCTTTGTCGCATGAGTGTGGAGATTCTGGGACAAAAGAGAGGGCAAGGGAGCAGAGAACAGCCTAGGAAATAGGAGGAAGCCATCGCAGGCAGATTCTCAGAACTAAACCCTCTGAGCTGCAAGGAACTTGGAAGGCTGCCTTGATTGGTGTCCTTTCCTTTGTGGGGGTCTGGCCTCTGGCAGGTGGTGTCAGACTTCATTGAAGTGCACCTCCTCTGGGAATCCCGTGCAGTCATTCGGTGTCCAGGCCACGTGTCTTTGTGCTGTGGAGCTGTCTGGTTAGCCTGGGCTCCACTCTGGAACCTAGCAAAGCAATCTTGATTACCCATCCACATAAACATCCTGTGGATATTGGAGGACAGCTGCCAATATCCCTCATCTTCAGTTTTCTAGGCTTCAGCCCAAGCACCTGATGATAGCAGAGAGGATGTTGGGTGAGATGCTTACAAAATTACTGCTCCTTCTTGAAAAGTTTCTGTCTTAGGGCCAGGGATGTAGCTCAGTGGCACAGCACTAGCCTGACAAGTACGAAGTCATGAGCTCAATTTCTGGTACCAAAACAAACGAACAGGAAAAAATTTCCTTCTTAGACCTAGATTCAGTTTACTTTAGTTGATTATGTCTTTGTTTTGCTATGTTACTGTCATTTTATTATTACTGATAGGATTATATAATAAGAAATGGAAAGCTCACAACATTAAATACAAAGACAAGACAGTGGTATAGAGTAAAGGTTAAGACTTACTTAGAGGAGACAATGGCTCCTTTTAGGGTTTTGTTGAGCTGTTTGTATAGCTGAAACTACACAGATATAGAAAAATCCTGGAATTTGACAGTTACATATCATTAGCCAATGATGACATTTGAAGGTGTAAAAAAATGTTAGAAGAAATGCTGTGCAGCCTCCTGGTTTGGTGCAGCTTTCCTTAAATGTGATGAGTCTAGCAGAAGTCCAGTGCCTTGAAACCCATGTGCTTCCGGCTCCTGAGGTGTGGTCCCTGTCAGCTGAAGCATGTCACAGCTGGCTTCCTTGACTTGGCATCTTGAAATCAAGCTGCCTGCAGATATCCAAGGAATGGAAAAGAAAGCCCTCGACACAGTGCTGATGTGCAGCTGGCACCTCCTCCCAGCTCACAGAGGCATGAGGAAAATTTGGCCCCAAAGTTGACAAGGGAAATAGCCATACAACACATGTGCAGTGTTTTCTTTTTATGTGTTGCAGCAAAATGGTTCGCCGAGTTCTAAAGGAAATGGTTGCTCACAACTATGACCGATTCTCCAAGAGTGGATCGTCTTCTGTCTTTACTGGCTACATAGACCGTACGTAACCTAAAAAGGAGTTCTCTCCCTGACCTTTCCTAGTGGGCACAGTGGAACTGTGGCTGAGTGACATGGCTGTTTTGTCTTTAGGTAGCCCCCACGCAGCGTCCACTTACAGCCTTGACATCCTTTACTCTGGTTCTGGCATTCTAAGGAGGAGTAACCTGAACATCTTTCAGTACATTGGGAAAGCTGATCTGCATGGTAGCCAGGTAAACATTTTCTATGGATTCTGCTTAATAAAGGTTATAAAAAATCAGCCTAAGATGAAATATAGGCACATGTATATGGATGATAGCTCTGTAGATGTAAATTAATGGTGGTTTCTGTCATATGTTGCCAAGATTCCTTCAACTGCAAGAGACTGTGTGGTTTATGGTCTCAGACATGGCTTCAGATTTGGAAACCTAAATAATCTGATTGGCCTAGCTTCCTCTGTATACATTTGTCTTTTCAAAGGTACACATATCCACAACATTGAAATGCCAGTATTTCTCACTCAAACATTTTGTGACATTTTATTTTTATTCACAGAGGTATTCCTTAGGGCCCCCAAGTATTTGATTCTGTGATATATTTGCCTTTTGTGGTGTCTCTGCAACAAGACTTGCTTCCCATAAGAGAAACTGCATAACAGAGTATGGTTCTAAAAAGCCAATCTACGTAGCTTCAGTGTTGCTAGGAGAAAAAATAAAGGGTAGAATCTGACAGTTAGCTGACTTCTGTTTCATTAGTACTATCAAAAATTAGTTGTCGATGTATAAAATTTGCTTATGAAATACATGTTCTTTTTAATTTGCATGAATATCACATTTTAACCTTCTGCATAATTGAAGTGTCTGAACTTTAAGAGTCATCCTGTCCTACAGAAACTCAAACTCCATCAGTGCAAAGTCACCACACATTGCACATTGAAGGTGCTTCTGTCCCTAGCACTTGCCATATGTTTTCTGATACAAGCTCTGAAATGCCACGCACCCTGTGGTTAAGGCTGGATACACTGGACAGGAAATATGTGACATTCCTATTGGTGGCAGAAGTCAGGGTGTGAGCTTATTGTGGCGTCCACCATGGTGCTTGTTATCCTTTTTTTCTTTTTGTTAAGAGTTTGATCTGGACAGGTGCAGAAAGTCCTGGACCCTCTGATAGCAGCAGCCTTAGAACAGTGCAAACCTCTTCACCTCCCTTCTGAGTGCCCAGAAATGGCAGATCCATTCTATGTGAGCACCCTGAGGAGACTCACTCCAGGATGGCATCATGGGACAGAAAGCTCCTAGTCTATGCAGACACACACAGGGGTTTGATTCCTCCTCTGCCATGTACTGGCTGAGCAAGCTTGGAGCATTTTTCATTTTCTCACATACAAAATGGGTGAAATCATCTGTACCTACAGGATGGTTTTAAAGATAACCTGGAGAAAATCAACCTGCTTTATATTCAGGCATAAAGGTTTTAGTTTGATTTTGTTTTTGGTTTTGGTTTAGCTGCTGCAGAGGTTATAAATTTTGATCCCTTGAAAAGTGCCAGAAGCATCACTCAGAGCAGACAGGAAAATTAGTGTGTCAGAATAATCCCCTAATTCTTATCTATTTTCCCCAGGTGGTCATTGAAGCCCAAGGGTTGGAGACCTTGATCGCAGCCACTCCGGATGAGGGCGAGGAGAACCTGGACTCTTACGCTGGTCTGTCTGCCATCCTCTTTGATGTTCAGCTCAGGCCTGTCACGTTCTTCAATGGCTATAGTGATTTGATGTCTAAAATGCTGTCCGCATCTAGTGACCCTATCAGTGTGGTGAAAGGACTTATTCTGCTAATAGACCATTCTCAGGTATTACATTCTGTCTGCATGTTTTTATTGGTTCTTAAACAGTGCTCCTGCCTGCATGATACAAGATAAAATTAGCCCACCCTGGAGTTCACCTTTCTAGCAGCTGATACTTTTGGTTATTGTTGCCTATTTTCCTTTGCTGTGGATAAACAGCATTTCCTCCTGCACTTATTAGCTGATTAGAAGCTATCCTTACTTGGAGGTGAGTAAATGCAGATGCTAATGAACAGAATGGAAGTTGGGAGAGTAACAAGCAAAGAGGTGACACTGCTGCCTTACTTGGCTTCCCTGGACGCGGGGCTCAGGTTTCCGGACTTGTAGGACCAAACCACACGACTTCCTTAAGTTCCTGGTGACACCTGACAACAATGACACCAACCCACAGAGTGCTTTATTTTGATTCTACCAGATTAGTGGAGGACAAGCGAGCGGTGACACCAGCCATGAGTTTCCAGTAGTTTCATGGAGACTCTGCCCCAAATTCTCAACCTCATCGAATCTTAATTTATTCTTAGAAAGCAGGAGTACTTGTTCTCACTTGGACCTCCTACTTCAGAATAATTTTCAATTTTCCTTGGTCCTCCCAGGCCTTAATATACTGTGCAAAGATCTGGCAGTGCTGTCCTTTGTGCACTAAGTTTCAGGTGACCAACGTACAGGAGATGATAGTAGTCTGTGCACCTGGATTTCTAAGAAACAGAAGGGGATTAATCTGCAGAGTCTTTGGATGTGAATGTGTGATGCTTGAAATACTGTTTTTGATATTGTTCTTGAAATATTGTTCAGAAAAAATATTGATTTGTTTTCTATTTTAGTAAGCAAACTAACACTAAAAATGTCAAAATTTGTGAGCTGAAGGTGTAGTTTAGTGGTAGAGCCTTTGTGCAGTTTGCCTGAGGCTCTGAGTTTGATCTCCAGATCCTCAGGAAAGAAGGAAGCAAGGAAGGAAGGCTGAGATGTACATAAAAACTCTGTGAGAATCACTGTGCGTTCTAATTCATCTTACCGTCTTGAAGATGTATAGAAGGAGATTGAATTTAAAATTTATAGACTGTAGAGATTACTTCAGATATTTGTTTTTGTCATTTAGTAAATTCACAGTCAATAGCCTGGATTTGAGTCTTGCCTCCATTATGTTCTTGCTGTGGGCTTTTGGACGGTTGCTTAATAGCTTTGAACTCAGACTTCCTGCTAGTGGAGTGAAGTATTTGAAACAGATTGTCCACAGATTTTCTTAATTTTATTTTGCTTTGCCAGATAATTTGAAGATTCTCATATGTTAGGTTCTGGTTCTGAAATCATAGTTTTTAAGAGCTGGAAAGATCCTAGGCACCCAATTTTATTAAAACTATGCCAAAGCATGAATAGCTGTAGCTAAATATTATTAATTCTTTATTATTTTAATATCAGTTCAAGATGTATATAACAGAAATGAGAAACAAGAGTGGCTTAACCAAATAGTTTGATTTGTATCATGTAATAAATATATAAAAGTAGGTAGCCCAGGGCCAATATGGAAACCCTAAAATACCAGAATCCAAGCTCTTTTTCTTCAATTCAGTGAATCTTACTATGGCTTTAGACCTCTGATTTGTCATATTCTGACACAGATAGCCATTCCATTTCCAGCACTGTCTCCTCATGCAGGGAGGAAGATGAGAAGAAAGTTGAATTCTTTTGAAGAACTCTTTTTGGAAGCCTTGTCAGGGATATTATTGGCAAAGCTGCATCCGTCACATGGCTGCCTCTAGCTGCAAGGGAAGCAGGTAGTTTTGCCATGGGTGTAGACACACTGCAAATGGAAATGCATTCCTGTTCGTGCAAATCAAGACAAGGATGCAAAGGAACAGTGGCTCTCAATCCTTTAATGCTCAAACCATGCATGGAAAACAGTTCTTAAATTATATCAGAAGCTTGCATTGCACAGTCCTATCCTTCTCTTAATGGAGAAGACCTCTAAATGCAGCCTGAACACACTGATGAATAGGCCTCGTTTTAAGGTATAGGATAGCACTAGCTGCATGTGTTCAGCTACCATGAACAGTGCTTGGTGCAAAACTGGATGCAAACCTAACTCATAACCAAACCTAGGCTGGCAGACTGGTTCTATAAAGGGCAGAAAGCAGATATCGTAAGCTCTCAGGCCCCATGGTTTCTGTGCAACACTCAGCTCCACTACTTTATGGGGAGCAGCCTACAAGGTTTTGGAAACTTTACTTACAAAAACAGTTCAGAGGCCACAGCTTCCCAACTCGTGATTTAGATGCTCTTACATCTAAACATTCAGTAAGTGAGGCAACATTCAGTAAGTGAGGAACCTCCAGCAAGGCATAGTTTAGGAGAAACATTGTTGCCTGGCTGTTAGAAGTAACCAGTGTCTGTGTGTGTAGGTGTAAAGTGTTCAGCGAGTCTGATGGCTACTGCACCAACAAGCTCCCCTAGGAACCCAGCTTCAGACACAAGCACTGGAGGTCTCCTGCTGCTGTGGAAGGAAATGCTGGCTGTGGGTGGCCTGTTACAGCCCTGGGGAAGATGGAATTATTCCTTTTGTCTCTCCCTCTCCTTTCCTGACTGTCACGGGGTTCCTCTTCAGAGAAGGATGTATGATGCAGTCAGTGAATAAAGGGACCCTCTTCAGCTACTGAAGACCCCATCTTCCTAAACGGATGCACTGGGATAATTTGTAGGACATCAGTGACTGTAAGAAACAGCTGGGGGATCAGAAGTGAAAGATCAAAAGTGTTACGTGAGCTATGGATGCTAAGTCCTAGTATCTTATTTCTCTAGTTCTCAGGTGAACATTTAAATTAAAATGTACTCTGAATCAAGCAAGTACATTAACCTATGGTCTTACTTTTTTGTAATATTTTTCAGCACAGATTTTCCTGCACATGGGGAGATGGAAGAGTTAGGATTTTGTAGTAGCCATGTATGAGATGTGATAAAAAAACTATAGTAAAAAACAATTTTTTAAAAATCTATTATAGCATTTATTACAGCAAAAGACATTCACTTCCAATGCATTTATCCCATCACTCCTGCCACTTTCTGAAGCAGTTCTAGAAGTCTGTTTTCATGAGTGTGCCTCATAACTATCTTGTTCTGTCAAAACTACTTTGATGTCCTGAGTGGATTCAGAATGTTTCCCTTCCATGGGTATTTTGCGCAGTACTGATCCAGGGAGTGAGGTGGACGAGGACACATCGTTGTGTTTTTATGAGCTGTCTTTCTCTGGGATGGCACTCAGCAGCACTTCCTGTATTTTTTTTTTTTAATCACACTTCACAAAGGCTCTCACAAAAGAGAATTTCTGGAATTGCATCAGAAAATGAAAAAAGTGATGGAATAAGTATGTTCAAAGGAAGAAGCAGTATTTTAGGGGGGATTAAGAGAATGTGTCTTTGCTGTAAGAAATATTATTAAACTTTCATCATAAACTTTGATCACATTTTATAGAAAGACACTCAGAAACTATCTGATTCTTCGTTCCAGCTATATGTGTATTCTCTAACCTTTATTTTTCCTTTCAGTCTTCAAATATAATGTCTACTAGGGAAAGTTAGTATGAGGATTAAATGAATTACCCAATGCAGAGCTTTAGACATATAGTAAGTGCTTCAAAATTTATGTCTCTCAAAAATTAGAACCACTGCATTATGTGATTTAGTTCTTTTTATAAGGGAAAGAGTAGCTTGTTCTTCTACATGGGTCAGTGGTCTACCTTCATAAATTGGCACAAGATAATTCCTTTGTAGCTTCATATAAAATTTTTTCCATGATTACTTGGCATGAAAGAAAAGAAATCTTCCAAGAAATTCAAAGTGCTCCTCAAAATCACCTTGCAATAAAAATGCTATCTTCTTACAAAGATGTGTTTTATGGTGTTATAAAGTGCATTTTGTCACAGCACTTACAGTATTTTGACATCTACTTAATGTTTTATCATTGAGAAAGTTAAGGTCTACACCTCAGGTCCCTTCAGGTGATTCTGAAAGAGAGGCGAGGCCGGACACATAGTCCCCCCTGCAGTGCACACGCAGCCTCTGGTTATCTCAGTCCTGTAACTCATTGCTGTGTGTTAGCATTTGAGCATGCCTGCTGAGGTCTTCTCAAGGTGAGCTGTGTTCCTTCACATTAACTGTGATCCATAAGACAGCCCCTGTGTCCTATGGCAAGCAAATTTCTCTTCTAGACTGCATGTGACCCTCAGTATCCTTAGTGGTGTCTCCTAATGGATCCTTAGCATTGCATGAGTACCCCCATGTTTGTGATTCCACCTCACCCAAGTGTCTTTCAGAATCAAAATAGAGTCACACCACTGCCACATCTTCTTGGAACACGTGCCCCTAGTCCAAGCTGAAAGTCTGAGACTGCATGCAGTGTTCTCTGGAATTCAGGGAGACCAACGCTGTCCTTCTGGAAAGTGAGATCATGCCGTTTCCACATGGCAAGTGCAGGGCTCATTCCATCCGAGTAGGACAGTTGCATAAAAATGTTAGTTGTGCTGCCAGTTGCTAGGAACTTACATTCTTTGGGAAAATATCAAAAGTAAAGATGCTGAGCTTTTCTCCAGAATTGTTATCACTCTTAACACTGTCCCTAGGCAATCTGATTTCATTGCACCTGAAAATGTTTTTGTCAGCATCATTCTGCCCAATATATCTAGAAAATGCAAAATTTCAAGGCTAAATGGAGGCAAAACAATGCACTGCAGTGTGTTTTGGACAACTGTAAAATTGCTCAGGATAGGCCGTGTCTGTTAATGATTCCTGTGCTTCTGAAAAGTGCAGTTGAGTTCATATTGGGTTGGATCATTAAGCCACAATCATGTCAGATGGCAGATGGCAGGATGCAGGGGTTAGGTAAATGCTTGCCTCCTTCTCCTGCTCTGGTCTGGGCAGTTCCTAAAATCTGTACACTGAATCAGAGGTCAGGTGTTGCCTTTTGTCAGAAGGATGCAGCGGTCTTAGGAATCTCTGGTGGAGGTTCCCTCATTTTCTCTGGTGCCGTGGTTCTCAATTTTAGAGGAATCTGGATCTCATGAGAATGTGTGATAGTGCAGATTGTTGGGCCAATCATTGGAAGGCATGGGAGGACCTCTGAACCCACACTTGGGACAAGGAGGTTCCTGGTGATGCTGATGCTACTCCTCAGAGGACCAGACATCCAGGACCCTTTGCCTTATAATGACTGAACGTGAAAATACCCTTCATAATTGCCCCTTCTCTGGTGTGTTAATTAACTTAGCAAATTAGCAGAGTCTACTTCTGGTGGTTAAAATGAGGACAGTTTTCCAAGCCTAGAGAAAGGCTCCTACATCCACCCAAGTCATTGATGTGTCCCTAACAACTGCATTGTACTTACTATTGTTACTTTTTTTTTCTTTTAGGAGCTTCAGTTGCAATCAGGACTAAAGGCCAACATAGAAGTCCAGGGTGGTCTAGCTATTGACATTTCGGGCTCAATGGAGTTTAGTCTGTGGTATCGTGAGTCTAAAACTCGAGTGAAAAATCGGTAAGTATGTGTTCAGTACTCTATACACAGTACTACAGAGATATGTTCTGGGAGCTGTTTAAGCTTTGGGCTTTTCAAAGTCTATGTTTTTTATTTGCAATCATGAAGTCAGAGAGTTGGAAGTGCCCGTGGGAAGCCATTCCAACATGGCTTCTGAGGAGTGGGTCAGTTACTTGATACAAGTCCACTGAGAACCTGCCTGCTTTTGGAGATGCGCAGAGAGCTGTGCCAAAGAGTGAACACTTTGTCTTCTCTTGGTGTCTCACACTGGTCAGGAAATTTTATTTTGAAGCCTATTTTTTAGCCTGCTATTCTTGTTGGGGTTTAAAACCTGTCCTTTTTTGTTCTCCTCAGTGTATTAAAATAAAAAGAGAATCTCATCTGCGGAATTAAAACTAAATACTTGGAGTTCTTATGTTTTTCCCTCAGCATCCCTTTTTCTGAGCCTCTTTAGTTTTTCTAATCTAATCCAATGAAAATGTTTTACTCTGAATATATAACAACATCTGTGAGCTAGAGATTTTATTATAAAATTGAAGAAGATGAAATAAAATGTATTTCTTTAACCTTTTGGATATTTAAAAATAGAATGGGCAGCTATGGGGTAACAGTGATAAAATTTAACTTCTTATTCATATTCAACTCTGTGTGAACCAAAAGGACACTCAAAAGGTAGCGTACGTAACGTGAAAGATTACAACTAGTAAGACCAAAAGGACCCAAGAAATGAGAAACGGCACTGGGCCTCGGAGCCAGTCATAATGTGAAACTTTCCACTGACTCTACCCTCTGGATTCTCTTTTCAATGTATTTTCTGGATGGAAATTTCTCCAAATTAAACATTGAGTTTTCAATGTAATCTGGAGAAGAAAACAACAGTGACCAAAACAAATAAACAAACTAACTAACAACAACAAAAAACCCACAGACAAACCCTCTGGCCTTTTAAAAGGACACAATATCCCTAGCAATTCACCAGTAGCCATCTTGCAACTAATCTAGCTTCCACGTCATTAATTCATTCATTTTGTTTAAAAAATATTTCTTAACTTTTTGTTGATTAGAAGACCTTAGAATGTACTATAAGGGATTCAGGGATTAAAATAGCCTCTGGCCTACTTTAATACTTTCAAAAATAGTAAAGGGGTTTTTAATTTGCACAGCAAAAATCAGTACCTCTTTTAAAAAGTATGAACATACAACTCTGATTTAATCATGGGAGTTGTTTCCCACAATTCAGTTAAAGTCTTTTCTGTGGTTTAAAGAATTCTTAGAGCGGCCCTAAAGGTGAGCCTTCTTCCTCTTCCTTGTCATTAGAGCCCCACTCCCTGGCTGTCCCATCTGTGCAGGTCTCGGGATGACAGGGCGAACCCCCTTCCATCCCGCCTGGGGCACCTGCTGTGCTTGCCCCCCTGTGGGCACGACTCTTCCAGTATCATAATAAGCACTTTTCCACCTCCGGAATGTAGTAAAATGGAACTGAAATAGCCACCTCAAAGCCAGAGAGATAGTTAATGTGAAACTTGTCAGTAAGGGCAGTTGTCATCTTGGGGAGTTTACACTTCCTTTCAAGATAACTCAGGCTTCAGAGGAGGTTCCAGGTGTGTTTTCTGTCAGTCCTTTGTGTGCCATGACAGATAGCGTCATGCCTGATAGACACTTTGTTCCCATGGTTACACTTGGAGGCAGGGCAGGGCTGCCTCGCCTGACCCATCCCTGCCTGCCAACACCCTGATTCCAATGGGCCTGAGCACACGTGTCACCTCTGCATTTCTGAGCATTTCTTTCCAGCTCTCAGTGTCATAGACTGAGGCTCTGTGAAATTGTATCAGGCCAACCCAGTGAAATGTGACACCTCAAATCTTCTCTCTCATCTTAGGGTGGCTTTGGTGATAACTGGGGATGTCACGGTGGACTCCTCCTTCGTGAAGGCTGGCCTGGAAGCCAGGGCAGAGTCAGAGGCGGGCCTGGAGTTCATCTCCACGGTGCAGTTCTCCCAGTACCCCTTCTTGGTCTGCATACAGATGGACAAGGCTGATGCTCCACTCAGGTGAGATGCAGTTCAGGGGATGACCCAGGACAACACCCAGCTCAGCAGGAAGTCGTATTCAGTGTGAGAACTGAAAAAAAAAAAACATCAAGTAAAAGACAAGTTTTCTTTAAAGGAGTAAAATAATAATCGATAAAACTAAGAAAAATCAGCTTCTAGGATACCAAGCAAATCCAGTGACTAGTTCATAGTTAGTCCAGGGATTACTTTTACTTTTTTTGTCTTTTTCCTTTTTATCGGTACCAGGGATGGAACTCACGACTGCCCGCTTGCAAGGCAGGCGCTTATGCCACTGAGCTAAATCTCCAGCTCCATTACTTTTACTTTCAAGGAAACAAAGTGATTCGACTGACTACAGGAATTGGCCATTTGCTATCTGGTGTCTTCACACAGTTGCCTGCTGTGCAAAAAGTTCAAAACAAAACACCGGGCCACCCACTTAGCACAGCCCGAGGGCCCAGGGAATGTATAATCCTTATGTATTGTGGGCAACAACGACTTGACCTTTGGTTTAAATTTGGGCTCAAGCTTGAGTTTGGGATGCTGAACATATTAGGAGAATAAAAACCAAATCTATTATCTTATCCATATAGCTTCCCAACATCTCTGCTATTACCCTGTCTTTGGCTCTTGTAACCATGATAGGTAGCAATGCTATCCTGTGGAGACAAGATGATTTCAGGGTAGGTGGGCACTGCCTTTTCAATAGTGGCTTCTGAGATCTCCTTGACACTACCTAATCCTAAGGTGCAGGAAGCCACTTCTTAATGTTATTTCCTGTGATTACCGCACTAGATCTGAGTACTGTTTAAATTTGGTGACACTTTATGATGCATATAAAAAAGGCATCAATAACTTAAGTATGTATCTGTTATATTTTTCACAGAATATGTGTGGATTATAGTTGTCACTAATATATATTAATGTATCTAAAAGCAACTTCCATAAATACATCTTTTTGTTTAAAAAAGAAAAGAAAAATCAGCTTTGCAGTAGTCAAAACACCTGGACACTATGGCTCAATGGTTTGACCCATAGCCTGGGATGGTTTTCCTGGCTGCATTCTCAACAGAGGCCAGAGCCAGGCTTCTGGAATGAGGGTTGGGAGACATAGCTGGCCTTGCAGAGCTGAACAGAGATGAAAGAAACTCAGCCTTCATCCCCAGATAGCTAAGTCAGCCCCACTCCCAGGCATGTGATGTGTGTCTATTAGTGTAGGAGTGTGGGGAAGAGAAAGACCACTCTCCTCAGGAGCATCCTGAACACGGGGGTAGTGTGGGGTGACTTAACATGTGTGATGTTGTTGTCATGCAGGCAATTTGAGACAAAGTACGAGAGGCTGTCCACAGGCAGAGGCTACGTGTCTCGGAAGCGAAGAGAAAGCCTCCTGGCAGGCTGTGAGCTGCCTCTGCACCAGGAGAACTCCGACATGTGCAACACGGTGTTCGCCCCACAGCCCGAGAGCTCCTCCAGTGGATGGTTTTGAAAGTTGACAGGTGACATTTCCCTGGAAGCTTTCCCCAGAAGGGAGACGATGTGCTGTGCCTGAGTGCTTGCTCCCTGAGAGCATGGTGTTTACATGTTTACCCATATTTAAGAGTTTTGTAGAAAGCTAAAAAAAGCTTCAGTTGGTTAGATCTGGGCCCACTCGGCACAGCCAGTGTCCCTTCAGTCACCTCATGACACTTCCATCACGTCACACAATAGCCTTAGTGTCCCGGTTCTTCTCACAAGCACAGTGAACATATGCTGCTCTTAGAAGAAACCAGCACTTGCTGAAAAACAAAGCCACCCACTGGGGAGACTGATTTTGTTTGAATAACTTTTAGTGTATACAGAAAGCCCTTGACAGAACCTTAGGTATGGCTCGATTTCTATAAAACATTGCCTAAGCAGGGGGCAAAGGGCCATGTTTTTCTTTTTTTCTTTTTCTTGGGGTCAGTGGGTGCAGGGAGAGGGCGGGTATAAGGCTTTTAAAGGGATTTCATTAGCCAGCCTCAGGAATTAATGTTCATACTTCTGTTATTGGTTGCATTAAGCATTCAGGAGGAGGCACCCTGAACCGGCCATGCTGCACCAGAAGCACTGGCCTTGGCACACAGGGTGAGAACACTGTTTGTTCATCCTTATGCCAAATCTTTCAGACTCCGAGTGGTCACTGGTTTTGTAAGGGACACCCAGCAGCCCCCAACTTCCTCAGTGTGGCATAGCCGGATCACTGATCTTCAGTGCTTTTACACACTGGTGAATTCGGACTTTACCATATGTAATCAAATAAAGAGTTTCTTTATTTGTATGAATTTAAAAAGCCGTGTTGGATATTTTAAGATATTTATTAACAAAATGGATGTGTTTAATGTAATAAACCTGAAAACAAATGACAGGTCCTCCTTTGCCCAGCAGACACAGTGCAGTTTAGCCACCCACGAATCGCTGCACACTGAAATGACAGGTGATAAAATAAATATGTGGATATCTCAGTGAATTCCATCCATCTTTCATCCCCGGCACATCAGACTGGAGGCCCCCTCGCCTCCCCAGAGACCGGGCTGGCTCTCGCTGCTGTGTCCCTGAGGAGGGCAGGGAGGCTGCAGCATGTGGTGGGTAGGTTTGCCTGGAGGCTGCAGGCAGGGCAGGCCGATCTAGGGCACACACTGAGGGCCTCAGCCTGGTCCTGAGCAAACCACTGGCTCTGAAGTGTGAGATAAAAGTAACCACCAGGTGCCCCGTACACCAGCACTTTGCCAGACACCCCTCCCCCACGGGAAAGCCTGCCCATCCTCGAGGCTGCAGGATTTGGCCCCTCCAGCAGGCAGAAGGAAGCAGGAAACCAGGAACCTAGGATGAAACAAGTGTGCAAGGTAGCAACAGCAGCGGTGGAACATACTGTACATTTGGAGCCAGCAAAGTGGCTGTCAGCCTCATCTGCCGTCCTCCAGTTCTGAAGGTGGGACTGTCTGTCTGGACACCGTTGGTCACTGAGCACATCCCTGGGCCTCCATGCTGTCGGCCCTAAGGACCTGGCCTGACCTCTCTTGTCATTCCTGTACCAAGGGGCAGTTCTGCCTGAGCAAGAGGCTCCCTGCTTCTCCAGATCTAGCTACCTTCAAGCACTGCTAAACTCAAACTTATTTCGAGTTTATCATATACCAGGTATTTTAAAGCATTTCACATAGGCTAATTTAATCCTCACAACAATCACATTTAACAGGCAGTATTATATCTATACTATAGATCCGCATTGTCTAAGCAAATATAATGTGAGTCAAATAATTTTAAATTTCTAATAGCTGGAGGCCAGGCAAAGTGAGGCATGCCTGTAATTCTGGATCAGCTGATTGCTTAGAGGTGGAGAGGTGAGGACTATGCTTCTCTCCCTGGCCCACACAGCTGCTGGCTCACAGTGGGAGTGTAGCTGCTTTCCTGGTTTTTTCCTTGGCCTGTGCTCCAGCTAGCTCACAGCCAGGGGCTTCCTTCCCTTGCATCGTGTATTAAAAGGCTATCTTTCTTCCAGTGTATACTTCTGGCCCCTTTGTCAAAAATCAGATGGCCAGATGTGAATGGAGTTGTTCTTCCACTGTTCTGTTCCAGTGGCTAACATGTCTGGCTTTATGCCAGTTCCAGTGCCATGCTGCTTTTGTCACTCTAGTTTTGTAATATAGTTTGAAATCTGAGATAATGATGGCTCCTGCTTTGTTCTTGTTGCATAGGATTTCCTTTGCAATACTGGGCCTCTTCTGGTTCCAGATACATTTTAGGATCATTTTCCAGATTATGGAAGCAATGCAGTGACCATTTTGATTGTGGCTGCATGGAATCTATACTATCCATATTGGTGTTATGACAATTTTGACAGTATTTGCTCCACCCATCCAGGAACAGGTGATATCCTTCTGAGATAGGAAGTTAGAATGTGGCAAAACCTGGCTGGGGAAGTAAGTGTTAACTATAAGATCCCAGACACCTGTGCAAAACAGTTCCCAAAGCCGAGCATGCAGACTTGCATGTGAACTTGAGCAGGTTTTCAATAGGACACCCTAGACCTTACTTTAGACTGAGGCATGCTATCCCAGACTGCCTCTCAAAACCCGTGTGTAGAAGTTCTTGCATGTTTCGCTGAGATTTGGGCACTATAAAAGAAGTTAGCTTCAGGAGTGGTGCGATCCTCCTTCCCACAGTGCTGCGTTCCCAGAGGCGGGGTGTAGTTGCATCTTACTCCCCCTCTGCCCAAGCCCGCTCTGCAGAGCCAGTTTCTCTGTTTTCACTTTCACTTTCTCAAATGATCTTTGCTACTATTTTTTTGCTTGTTTCATCCAATTCTTCATTTGAAACAGGAAGAACCTGGAATCCAACTCTGGAAGGAGAAGTGAACAACTTCAAACCTGGTAACATTTAATTAGGATCCACTTTTAGAAGCAAGTTATCCAAAAGCACTCCATTTCTGATGGCCTCTTTGACACCCTTCTTCAGGGATCTATAGATAGTTTTCTCTGTAGAGATGTTTCACTTCCTTGGTTAGGTTGATTCCCAAGTAATGTTTTTGAAGCTATTGTGAATGCAGTTGTTTTCCTAATTTCTTTCTCAGTGGGTTCATTACTGGTGTACAAGAATGTTACTGATTTTTGTGTTTTTTTCTACAATGCTACACTGCTGAAATTATTTATTGGTTCTAAGAATCTTTTGGTAAAATATTTTATTCTTTTATGTAAAGGATCCTGTTGTCTGCAAATAAAGGTGCTGTCGCTTCTTCCTTTCCGAGGCACATCCCTTTTCTTTCTTCTCTTGCCTGATGACTTTGGCTAAAGTTTCAAGTACAGTATTGAACAGGAGTGGTGAGAGCGGACATCTGTGTATTGTTCTTGATTTTGGTGCTTTCAGCTTTCCTCCACTTAATGGAATGCTGGTCTTTGCTTTGTTATAAATGTCTTTTATCTGATTGAGACAAGGTCTGTCTGTACCTATTTTCTTCAGAGTGCTTATCATGAATGAAAGTTGGATTTTGTCAAAAGCTTCTTTTATGTCTATTAAGATGATCGTGTGATTTTCGTCCTTGCTTCTACATGGGTAACGTGTTACATTTATTGATTTGTGACTGTTGCACCATCCCTGTACCCCTGAGGTGAAATCTATGTGGTCAATGTGCAGTCTTTTCAATCATTTCTTACATTCTGTTTGCTAGTATCTTGTTGAAGATTTTGGCGTGCATGTTTGTTGAAGCATCTGGCCTGTAGTTTTCTTTTTTAGTTGAGTCTGTCTGGTTTTGAAATTAATGTAATTCTAGCCTCTCACGGTAATTTTGGTAGTATCCTTTCCTTTTGAATTCCATTAATAAGTTTGAGGAGTACTGCATTAGTTCTTCTCTGAAGTACAAATAGAGTAAAATTCAACAGTGAATTATCAGGTACTGAACTTTTCATAGTAAGTTCATTATTATTATAATTATTACCTTAATTTCTTCATCTGTTACTGAATTAAGATGTTTATGTCTTCTGAATTAAATTTGGTTAATTTTTTTGTGTCTAGGGTTCTATCCATTTCTTCATGATTCTCCAGTGTAATGGAATACAGATTTAGAATCAGTTACTAACGGGCTTCTGGACTTCGGCAGTGTCCGTTGTGATTTCCTCTTTCCATTTCTAATTGCATCAATGGCTGTATCTTTTGACTGAGGAGTCAAGGCAGTTTATATGGAAAGTTTGTACGGAAAGGTGCTGATTTACTCCTATCATTGCATTATTTTTCTGTTGCCATTTCCTTCATTTTTTCCAACTTTTCACCCTGTTTGATGTGTTCATTCCATTAGACTCTTTGGCAGCATTAGCTTCCTCATCTCTGTCTAGGTTGTTCTTGAGAATTTTTTGGAGTGCTGGTTTGGGATCATAAATTTCTCAAGGTGTTCTTTTCCAGGGAAAGTTCTTGTTTCTGCATCAATTTTGAAAGATAGTTTTGCAGGCTGCATTAGTCCGAGCTTAAAGTTGTTTTCTTTTTCAGCTTGAAACACTTCACTCAAAGCTCTCTTGGCCCTTGAGGTTTGTGTTCAGAAGCCTGATGTTGATTCTAATGGTTTTAACTTTTCAAGGTTTTGTTGTTTTTCTGTAATGCCTCTTAGGATGCTGTCCTCGGGTTGGACTGCTGGGATTTTAACTATGCTGTGTCCTGGGAAGATTCTTTTGTGGTTGTGGCCACTTGGGGTTGTGTGTGCCCAACTTACCTGTATTTTAATGGCTTCTCCTACTTGGAACGTTTTCTGCTATGAGTTGTGTGAACAGAACTTGTATCTTCTGTATTGTCTTCTGATTTTTCTCTCTTAACGCCAATTAATCTTAGATAGCTCTTATTTGTGTCATTTAGCAACTACTGGGTCGTTTCTGTGGCCCCTTTTCTGACAGATTTCTGAGTGTGTGGTTAACAACAGGAGCCCGTCGTCCAGTTCTCATACCCTTTTTTCATGTTTATCGGTTTTGTTAACCACAGCTAAAGGTGTTTTTTATCTCCTAGGTTTTTTTTGGTACATTTCCATGGATTCCAATTCCTTGCCAAACTGATCATTTATAGTTTGAATCATTTTGGTTGGCTCAACTAGGGTTTTACTGTATGTTTTTGTGTTTGCTCAATCTATTATTTGTTTAGTTATATCATCTTTGAGTTTGCTGAGCACATGATAGAACTGGTTTTTCTGTTTTTTAAATTTTTTAAAATTTTAAAGGGAAAAAAAGCAAAACAGAAAACGGAGTAGAAATAATACAGAATTTCAAAAAAATAAACAGAAATCACTAGTTGATAAATTACATATTGTCATCTTATAAATAGATGTTCAAGTTACAAAATTAAAGCATACAAAGTGGACATTCAGATAGCGGGACTGTAAATAGTTCTGTTTAATGATCTAACAAAAACTTAGCAAATGGTTAGCTATCTTACACACTTAAACATACATGCAGTTATATCCTTTAGAGCACTTTCTTTTCCTCTTTTTTACAATAGCAACTACACATTTATTACTCCTACAGTTATTACTTTTTACACTAGACACAATGTGATATTTATAAACATGATTATTTCACTTATGAGGATAGTCTCAAGATGCCTCCATTTACCTGTGAAAGCCTCAAGGTCATGCTTTTATAGCTGAGTAATATTCCATCGTATAAAAATATCACATCTTTTTCATCCACTCTGCGGTTGATGGGCATTTTGGTTGTTTCCAAGATTTATCTAGCACTGTTTTTTCTATTTTTCATTTTGGTTTTTGATTTCCTTCCTATCAGTGACTCTTGGATCGCTTTTGGGAAAGTTGAGAGTCTTTTGAGGCATTTTGTTGCCTTGTTTTCTCATGTTTCTAATGTTTTGTGTGTATGCTGAGAGCTGATGATCAGTTAGAGTAGGAAGCCTTTGTTGCTAAGATAGGGTTTCTTTAGTTTCTTCTCCCTAGTAATGTGACCTTGACTTTGTTGTTTGTATTTGTCTACTTCTCCTACCTAGTTTAATCTGGTCAGACCTGGTCACTCTGTTATAAGAAGTCCCTCCCACTTATAACAACATCTGACGTTCCAACCATACATCAATCTTGTACATGGAAACATATTTTAACAATTTCCTACTTTTATCAGTGCTCCATGTAGACTGATCTATACTACTAACAGTGGGTGTAGAGGGAGAAAGAGAAAGGAAATGGACGATAAGGTTAAGTCAGTAAGAAGAGAAGGGAATACCAATAAATGAAAAGTAGCCAAGAGGTCAGGCTTGTTGGACTTGTTCTCATACCTGGAATAAGGCAGGTGTTGGAGGGGTCTGAGAGAATATTTTTTAGAGTGATGAACTGGATGCAGAGGGAAGGGAGGGGAACTGGAGATGGAGAGGTGTGAAGACCCCGGAACCTGTTCATATGCTGGTGGCTAGCCTAAGTTCAGGTCACATGCCCATGATTCAATTAGCTTCCAAAAGCTGCACGTCTGAGCTCATGAGGCAGTGGACATCCAAATACAAACCATAACTCTGCTCCTGGCAATGTATTCCATGAGGCAGCCTGGGTCCAGGAAGAGGTGGGCCTGGTGAGACACTGGGTACAGGGCAGAACCCACAGCAGGCTTCTGATCTCCAGAGCTGTCGGGTGACAGATTTGTGTTTCCTTAACCAACTAAACGTGTGGACAAGAGAAAAATGAATAGTACCTAGATGTGTTATATTAATAGAATACTTGAATTAAGCAAAAGACTTAGAGATCAGAAGAAAATGAAAATGTCAAAAGCCTGGTTTTTGAGCTAAAATAAAGACAATTGATGCATGTTTTCTTTGTAATTACTTTTACTGGAAAAAAACAAAACTTTTATTCAAAACAATCAAAATAAACCAATGCACAAGATTTGCACAATCATTTTATAAACGTTGGCAATTAAAGTTCAGTAGGCTAGTGTCACAGAATCCTGCTCAGTAGTTTCTCCACGTGCAACTCCCTGAAAACACAACTCCAGAGCTGGTGAACTGGACCTGAAGTTTCCTTAGTCAAGCTCACTTCGGTTTATTACTGAACCATGTCAAACCCAGGTGAACACTTTTCCACCAAGTTTTACATTGATGCTTTGAAAATTTCACATTCTCTCCATACACTAGATTGGAATTCAGCATTATCCACTGTCCTTTCTTATTTGTCACACAACACACTCTCTTCTACTCATACACAGCTTCTACTGTCTTCACGTTCTTTTCAGCCACCACTCTGCCATACAATAATACAATCCGTATGTAAATACAGGGACACACATCTTCAAAGGGATGAGAAAAAGGACCACCTCCTAGAAAATGGGTACAGGAGGGCTATCAGGGAGCCCTGGCAAGGATTTTATGTCATTAACAATAGATTGTAAAAAAAAAATCAGAAAGTTAGAAAAAATCAAACTCTGTGTGTGTGTGTGTGTGTGTGTGTGTGTGTGTGTGTGTGTTATTCTGCACCATTATGAACTGAACAGGAATACGTCTGGTAATGTCCTCTTGTCACAACATGAAACACTGAAGGTCAAAAGCTTACAAATGAGCCTGTGAACATTCCGTTCTCTTTTGAGACATGGGGCCCATGAAGGAGGGCAATTTTCAGAATCCTCCTCTGCACTCTATTGTCACACATGTGGCAGACAGCCACAGATTCTTTCTGGAGACCAGGGTCTGCAATCCTGCTTACATTCAAGCTCAACTCACCATTTAGCAAATGCTACATGCTTTATTAATGAGTTTATGCACCTGTGAGGTCTACTTGGGACCCAGAAGTTAAAGAATAAAAGCACTCTCTTGAAAATATATCTTATCTATGTATACATATATCTTTTTAGAAATTATGTAAAAGCCAAACAGCTTATGGCTTTGATTTTTATAACTAGTTTTATCAAACAAACTTACACATAATGTTTCCCCTCAAAAGTACTGATAACATATAGGGCACCTTTTTCATTCAAGTATTTGGGTAAAATAACATACCCTGAGAATTTGGGGTGCAAATCTACACCTTGTAAACTGTAGAATGAAACTCCTCAAGCACCACATAGGAAAATGTATGCTATGGTACTTTTAAATACAGACTATTATTGAATGTATTTCCCTATACACATATATAGACTTATCGTGAGATTAACCTAGTTAGCCTGCTTAGGCATCAGTACTGTCCTGCAGTCCAAATATCATTTCAGGTAGCATGAGCATTCTACTTAGAGCAAACACAGATGTCTGTTTCTGTGATAGATGAAGACAATCAAAATGCAGCTGGCCTTTTTAAGAGGCAAGTATGACAAAGTCAAGTCAGAAATGAAGAGAAAGAAATGTTTCATTAATGAAATAATGATAGATTTGAAATGCAGGTGTAATATTTGAGATTTATCACAAAGTTGTCAGAGTATAATTTATATTAGCTCATTTACTCAGTGACAAGTTATCTAGAGAGCATATACGCTAAGTCACTATCTGCATATCTGAGCTTCCTTAGATCCTGAGGGTGAGTTCAATGAGTGTTTTCAAGAAAATACATTCCAGTGAAGTCAATGTTCATCCTGGTTACGTATGTGTGCAATTTTCCAGAAAAATTCGAGGGTCTATCTAAACATAAACCTTTTACAGATAGGGAAAAAGAGAAGAAAATAGGTCAAGATTTCTATAGTTTGTCCTGTGGTTCTTAGGAAAACTGAGCTGCCTGGGAATCCCTGAGAGGAGGAAAGCACAAAAACCCGACTCTGCAATCTGATCAAATGCAAGCTCGAGGCTCTCTGAGGACATGCTGCTTTAGGAGTTTCATGTATGTAAGTCATAAAAGGGCAGTTCAGTAGTGAAAGGGACATTGCCGAGGTTAATAGTTTTGTTTCAGAGGGCTTCACTGACTTGTTTTATTTTGTTCTGACTACTTTGTTCAAATGTCTACACAGCCTCAAGAAATGACAAGGTGATACGTGAGGCTGAGATTTACTCCACGGCCACCAAGATGTTCTTTCCCCGGGGACTGAGGTAGTGAGCAGCCTAGCAGCTTTGCAAGGTTTTATGGCACAGAGAACTCCAAAATATCAATAGCTAGTATAGAACACAGAAAGAACACTTGAACAATTTCTATATATTTGGCAACTTCCCAAATGGCTCAGCCTCTTAGATAAAAACCAAAACAATGAACAGCTCTTTCTCTCCCACTTTCTACCTTGGTTTACCTCAGTGTGTGAATTTAAGGCTTGCATCTGCTGGTGATGGTGGTCATTTGTGGGTCCATAGTGTCCGTTCTCATGTGTGTTTTTTTTTACAAAAGGAGAGGATTCAGCATAGCCACTGGGGTTTCCCAAGCAATGTGGGTTTTAAACCAGGTGTACTAGTTCAGGTGCTGTCCATCCTATAACAGTCTCAAGAGTCATGTTCAGACAGATACCTGAGATTTCACAGTGCTGTTTGAGTGGTATAGACGTAGGATCTCTGAAGTGGCTTCTAATTTCCTATTTGCGTATGAAGTAGCCTCACACTGGCCAATTCCTCCCCAGAGGAATTTTTCACTAATGATGAAAAATCAAGGACATTCTGGAGTGAATCTATTCAGGTGCCCAGCTAAAATTTCTAGGTAAAGAGAGCATATTCCTGGCATCTCTCCTATATACAGAGACGAAGCATTGTGTGTCATGGCTCACAGAGAGTAAAGCTTCGCTCTGTGTCACTGCTCCTCGGCCCAGCAAGTGAGTGACAGTGGCCAGAGCTGACTTCCTGCTCAGATCTTTCTCTTTACCCAGGAGGACTTGCTTTGTTTTAAAGAGTGAAATCCCTGTAGAGAGGGACCTTAAAGTTAAATCGAGTGTTTTTTAAAAGAGCCTGGGTGGGAAGCATGACCTCAACATAATAAAAGTATATAAACCATACTTGAGAGCAGCATAAATTTCTATGGCTTTGAGGAGAAATTTTAAGCAGAAACTAAGCATGGATGATCACTAAAATCAAAACAACGCTTTTCACAAATTATTTCAATGCTTTAAACAAGTAAGAAAGAGATTCCATGAACAAATCTTAGGAAAATGTTCAAGTTTTGAAGGGCTACTCCTTTAGAAAGTAATAAAGAATATTTTGACAATGTCGGCTGAGTATACAGTGACGAAATTATTGATCACAACAGGCTAAACAGGCATCTGTTCAACCACTCTCCAGGACACAAGGGAATACTCTCTCCGACAGCCCTCAGAAGGGTGACAAGTAGGGCAACACCCAGGGCCAGCGCAGACCTGAGATCTGACCGCTCACATCCTGCAGGACTGCCTCACAAGAAGTCATGCTAGGTCACTGCTGCTGGGACAGCATAGGCCCACACACTACTCTCCCCACAGGGTGCACTCCATACCCCAGAGGACCCGAGCGAGGGGAGCCACAACCAGAGGAAATCACTGAAGAAGATAAAACTATGAGCTCATGACAAAGGTTCGATTCTGAAGAGGAAAACATACTCACACCTTTTTCAGACTAACAGTATAATTTTAAGTGCAACTACTGTATCAGTCAGCACTGATAGTCTTCCAGTATCTCAAGCCCTCCTATTTCAGGGCAACAAACAGTGTCCTGGCATTGTACAAATAGGAAAAATTAAAACAGCACAAAAGTTAAAACCAGCAGTTTTCACAATTACACCTGAAATCAAGCGAAGCCTGGTAAAAGGACAGACAGAGTGCAACCGAGAGTGAGATTTGGCTGATGGGGACTCAGTGCAGACTTAGCGTCTTTAAAGCCTACTGCTGTGGGTGAAGACTCTGCGGGTCAGGCTCGGTTGAGTCCTAGAACCTATGAGGCAAATTGTGACCCAAATGCCTGACTTGCTGTCTTGGTCTGCACAGAGCCCGTTTCATTCTGATGTGGGGTTGGTTGTGTGGCTGAACCATGTATACTTCGAGGGGTCTCCGCCTAATAGTGCAGGATTGGGGTAGGGAGCAGAGAGCAAAATCCTGCATTAAAATACAAAAAGAAATGGTTGTACAGGGGAGATGTAATCAAGCACCTTCCTAAAACTGAAATAATAAAAACTGGCTTAAGAGAGTTGTTTAGGAAAATATATCAACTTACACACAGCTTATAAGAGGCAAAAATTAAAATTTATACACAAGAAAGAGCTTTTTCAGATGAATTCTTATTACGATGCAATTTTCAGATCAAGTCGTATTTCTGTCTTGCTCCTACAAAAAGAAAAATCAAAGAAAAGGTTATTAGTGTAGAAGCACATCTTAATTTTAAAGAAGCAAGAAAAAATGTCAAAACATAATCTGACTACTGGTTTAGTATCATTACAAATAATGATGAAGTTTACGTTTTAAAATGTGCTTGGTAAATGTGTTTCTAGACTACCACACATTACACTGACTTAATTAAGTCAGTCATCTATTGCAAACCCATATAAGTTAAATGTGTAGCTCCACTGAAATTATTCATAACATGGATAAAATAGTATAATATATAGATTTCTAAAATCAGCATGCAGAACTGATTTTTAAATGAAATTCAAACAGTTGGAATTTATCTTGAGTCAGTAATCTAATATGGTGGAAAAAAAACTACACTAAGCATTTTTTAGCAAATGACCATTAACAAAATTATGTGGGATCTCAGTGCATTTTGTTCCAAATAAGATAAGTTAAGTAGAACCTACCTATAACTTGGTGAAACCCATTCCAAGTCAGCACTGATAGTCTATCCACTTCTGTAGGTTTTGGTACATCTACTACAACTTTGCCAAAGGAATTTTTTTAACAGCAATAAATTGATATTTGAGGACAGATTCAGAGTGGAGTCCAGGTTAGGGATTACGAAGACTCTATCATGTGAAAAACAAGCGCCACGGAGCATCAAATAACAGCTCTCTAACGAATCGCATGCAATTCGAGTAGGAAAGCAAGGGATATTTTAATCATCCCTGTCGTCTAGAGAAAGACCTGTTTAAATGTATGTTTAAGAAAAAGAAGTCTTTAGGAATAACTATGGTTTTACAGCTCACATGCACATACTTTATGTTTGTTTTACTGTTTCATACTTTACACTGAGAAGTCACTTGCAGCATGAAAAACACTAGCAGCGTTTAAAGACCTCTCATTCACTCATCTTGCTCTTCTACCTTGAGACACAACAACAGGAAAGATCTGCAGAAGAAACTGTGAGTTCAGAAGAGGTTCAAAGTGGTCAAGTATTTGACAATAACTGGCTGCGTCTTGTCAAGGTTTGAAATACTTGAAGTGAGTGAAAAAATACCAAGAAGGAAGGGGGGGATGAGAGAGGAGAGGTGGGTGGCAGGGTGGGGCTCTGTAGTATAAACCCATGAGAGCTGTCTGAGAAATGGAAGAGAAATCTGTCCCTCGATCTCAGGGGTTACGCTCGGTGACAGGTGGGCATAAGGATATTGCATTAGGGTATTCACAGGAAATCGTTTCTGCTTCCATTGACCGCAGAAGAATTTGCTGGAAATCTTTAGTCTCTCCAGCTCCCAGGAGGGCAGCATAGTAAGAACTGCCGGAAAACTTGTCGGAGGCATTATGTGCATGTCTTGAGGTACAGCTGATCATGAAGACCTGAGCAGAGATAAAGGGCGACTGCACTTGTTGCTGGATGGTGGCAGGATGACTTCGAAGGGCTTAAGAACCGAGACAACGTGACAGCTCAGCACGATGCTGGGCAGGCTGGCCTGCACGGGATGGACTGGAAAATCCCCACTAACAGCTGGCAGGAGAGGCCCCAAGTTGTGTAACCTCTGAAGGCCACGCATAGGACTCTAAAGTGTAGTACACAGCCAAGGGACCTGCCCTCAGATGCCAGGACAGGGGACTGTGCCTGGGCACACGAAGAAAGAAGGCCAGGGAGGGGCTCTGTCCTGAGGGATCGAAACACCTACTGAGTGCCACACACCAGCCCATGCTTCATTTCCACACATCTCCTGAAAGATGTCCCCAATGCCTGCCAAGGTACTGAGGCTCCCCGAGGGAAAGACACTGTGCTAGATAGAGATCCAGAGCATTTGAGTGTGAGCCGGGCTCCCTGGCATCAGGGCAATGTGCTCCTACTTAGTCAAAGCTGTACAGCCCGCTCAGCTAAATGCTTCACCTGCAGGGAGCAGGGTCCCTGCTTCATGCCCACCCCACACCCTGGCTCCACTCTCTGTGCACAGAACCACCCTGCAGCCACTGACATCCTCAGACGGGCTCAGATTCCTCTCAGGACAGAAAGTGTTCTGATTAAGGACAGCTAATTATTTAACTGACATAAAAACACAGGTAGACGCTTAGTGTGTATATACTGGATACCCTTCAGATTCAGGGTCAGTGTTTTAGCCGAGTCCCTTCTTTGCTTTCTTGGCCTCTGTCTCAGACCACAGACAGACAGACAGACAGACAGACACACACACACACACACACACACACACACACACACACACACACGCACACACACTCCATAGCCAAGAACCAGCCAGGAGCTTTACTGCCTCTGGGACAAGACTTCTATTTTCCTATGAATGAAGCTAGCCTTAGGAAAAGCTTGTGGGGCAGTCCCAAGGACAGACTGGGTCACATAAGTAATTCTGTGCCACACTGACTGGCCAACAGACAAGATGCAAAGCTGACATATTTTCAGAGAAGTCTGGCAGCAAGAAAGGCCTGACACAAAAAAGACAGGTAAGGGAAGAGGGGCAGCTGACAGCGCGGGAGGAAGAGAGAGAGACTGCAGCACAAGAGCCTCCCCACCTGTGAGGAGCAAACAGGGGAGCTTGAGGCCTGGCCCTGAGGTCCGCCAAGCTGCAGTGCTTGGGAGGTGAGGGAGCAAAGCAAATGACAAGGAAGAAGCTGGGCCTGGTGGCTCAGACGCCAGGAGTGCAGCTCTCAGAGCACTGGTCTTAGGAGAAAAACATGGAAGGCCAGCAGCCAAAAGAGGCCCCGGAGTGCCAAATCCAGGCTCTTAGCTCTGCAGCACGAAAGGAAGCTCCCTCAATTTCTGGGAGCCTCCACTGCCTCTCTGGCAATGGTAACATGAAAGGGCTGGAGCTGGTGAGCTCAGAACTCCCCTGGGCACCTCCACCCCCAGAACAAATGACTCCTGGAGCCCAGCTCTCTCTCCCACTTTGGATACTGGCTGCGCCAGATCCTACTCTAAGGGCAGAAGTAACTGAGAAGAAAGGAGGAAAGGCAGAGGTAGGAGCAACCGAAAGAGTTTTCAGAAATGAACAGACAAAGCTCTAGCGGACAAAGCAGGAGCATTCAAGAGGAGCCAGACAGCTGCACTTCCCTTAGCCCAATACCCTGTCTTTGAAAGGGAGCGCCTCAAACTTCTTTTTTGTTAATACTACACCTTCATTTTATCTTTATGCCTTGAAAATAGTACTTAGTATCAAGTCTCAAAATTTCAAAACAAAAATTCGGCATCAGAGTAGGCAGGCAGGAAAGGCAGTCTATCAGGGCAGGGAAAAGTACAGCTGCGTGCCTGGAGTCACGGGAAACAAAAACATAAATAGCCTCAGCAAAAAGGCATTCGAGTCCCAACAAAACAAAGTGGGGACATTTGCAGTGGGTTGGGGGATGGCTGGCGTGGGGTGTGCTGCAGACAGTCACTTCTGTGACCCTCTGGCCAGGTGGGGCAAGCCATATGCAGGTACCATGGTGGGCAGCAAGAGGCTCAACAGCAGTGGTTAACAAGATGAACAGTACTAATTATCTCTCACACGGGTCGCAGCCTGCAAGGTCGGGGAAGCACCGAGATGGAGAGTTGCAGGCTCTTAGAAAAGGGGACCATAAATGTTCACACTAGAGCCATTCAGGAAAGGAAATGGCAGAGGGTCATGCTCAAACACACGGGGAAGAGAAAAGGAAAGCTCCCTGCTGCCATGGGGGCTAAAAATAGGCAAGGAAATACTTGCTCTCTGGGCTGGAAGGAACCTTAAAGGTTACAACAGCCCTCTAACATAGGTTTACTGCATGTGTGGGATCAGTCCTTTCCTGCTGCAGCGAAGGTGGGTGTGAATAGGGAAATTAGTGCATTTTCCTCAAATATGCATTTTGCATACATGCACAAAGGCAAATGGAGACGGAGCCATCCAAGGGCCTGCTGTCAGTAAGGGACGGGCACAGGTGTCTGCGCTGGCCAGGGGTGCTCGCTGCACTACCCTGCCAGCTATTCCTTGCCTCACACCCACCAGGGATGCCCAGGGTGGCCTCTGTGAGTGTGGTGCAGCTAAGAGGAAAGCCAGCCCCACACAAACCTCAGCAAAACCATCTCTTCCCAAGTCCCAATTTATTTCTCTGTGAAATACTGTGATTGAATCCAGCTATTTGTGGAACTGCAGTGAAAGCTGGACCAGAAAAGCTAAGCTAGGAAAATTCCTGCAACAAGGCTGATGTCAGAGGAAACGCTGAACTGAAGCCACCTCTTAGAACTCCAAGACCATCTGCAGGAGCACCCTATGGTGTTTTGAAATAGTTACACCATACTTTAAAAACCTATACAAAGAAAACAACTTTATATATTTTTCCTAACCTATCTGACTTTTTCTTTTTGGAAGTGAACTTTCTTGAGAGTGAGTTTTTAAACAATTTTAATTCATATCTGAGTTTAGTTAATAAGGTTTTTTCATTTTGTTTTGTTTTGTTTATACTGACACAAAAAGCTAAATTTTAGTTTCTAACGATACTGTGTAAACCAAGAAGCCAGCATTTGCCTTTGTATCCTTAGGGCTGTTTGCTAAAAATAAAAAAGGTGCACTTCCAGACCTCCCATTCCAGAGGTGCACGCACACACCAGGGTCCAGAACCCTTTTGCCTACCATCTACTCTTTTCCTTTGACAAAAGTAACCTTCATCTCTGGTTCTGACCCTACACATACTCAAATTTTTATTTTCTACATCAAATAAGTACACATTCCGTATCCTTAATCTGCCACTTCTCTTTTATGTGTGATTATCACACAGTGTGTGCCTGCTGCAGACTCTTGGAGAGGAGCAATTCAATCATCAGTTTCTAGATTACAACTAAAATGAGACTAGTATTTGTATCTGAATTCTTAGAAAAGTTCCAAGGATATCTGAACAGTTCCTAAAATTGTCTTATAATTCAGTAAATGTGATGATGCATAAATAAATTAAGTGGCTCTTGACTTGAAATACACCTGACATTCAGGCATGGGTGAGGGAAAGACATCCTGAGACATAAGAATGCTAGTTTGTCACGCTGGTGAATTCAGTGACCTTAATTCCTAATGTAAAGCTGTCTGTACGAAAGAGCAATGATACGTTCCTTTTCAGCAGAACATGGGAGTAGAAAAAACAATCTCGAATTTAGAAACGTAAATGAGATTTCTCTCGTCTCCATCTCCTCTTTTCATTCAGTGTGATTTCAGAGGAGCAGGAGTCCTGGAGGCACCTACAGTGTCAACCTTTCCCGCTGTGAAGAGCGAGGCAGTAAGACGGGGAAATCCGTCTTCACAGTTCTGACCCACTCATGTTCCTCTCTGAAGGTCTCTGCCCTTCTGTGGGTTTGACCTGAGATGTCCCAGCTCCCGAGGATCAGGTTCCAGGACTGTATTTACAGCAAGGACTCCTGACAGAGTGCAGGTTAACCTAAGTGTTGGGAAACTCTTCTGTCTGGTTTCACTGAAGAGCGTTAATATAGAATTTTCTTCTAAAGGTAAAAGTACGGGCCTTGTGGGATGAGCCAGCAGCACACTGGATTCTGCCACAGCAGCCCCAAGACCAATGGGTCACTTTGTCCTAGGGCAAATGCACTCCCAATCACCCCTCCTGGAATCAAACTGCATGTGTGCACATGTGTGCACACGTGTTCTGTATGTACATGCATGTGTGCATGTGGGTCATTAAAGACCTCGGACTTGCCTAAGGAAAAGTATTCTAGTCACCAGAAAACCAGATACAATCCTCTATATAAGGTATTTGCAGCCCAACAGGGAAGGGAAAGAAAAGAAGCATTTCTGCAGATTTCTCAACAGGAAAGTGTCCCTCTGCCTTTCTTAGCTGGGCAACAAGCAGATCACAGTGTGCCCTGGGATCTAGGGATCAGGGCTATGAAGCTACCTCCAGAAACAAACCCAGATTTCCCCCTCTCCCTCTTTCCTTCCTGCTCCTCTTCCTTCTCCTGCAAACACTTTCCAAAGGCTGCAGGAGCAGGTGGAAGGTTCACTTCCCTCCTACTTTTCTCTTGAAGAAAGCTCGGGCAATCTGCAAAGGTACAAGGAGAGAGGCTGGCCTGGGACTGAGGGGTGGGTGCAATCTGCCTAAACACCAGCTCCTTCACAAATGGCCTTTACCTCCATTCTTCCAAATTGCCTGATTCTGGGGCGACCTTTCCTGCTGTGAATGTTTTGGGCTGCAAACAGAGAAGCTGGGCTGCTCCTACTCGCAAGCCTGATCCACGGGGTAAACACTCACCAGCAGCTGCTCATCCACTCTGGTGCTCTGGTCATCTGTGCTCTACCACGAAGCTCATGGTAGTGCCATCGAAGGAGGGCGGGGCGACGAGGCGTGGCCCCAGGGGCTGCGAGGTGATGCTGATGACCGGTTTGGGGTGCAGCTGGGTGAAGCCCTTGGCCCCCACGAGCTGCGCCGCGGCCGAAGGGGCCGAGGAGGACGGGGAGGCTGGGGACTGGCCGGCGGCCACAAAGTAGGGCGCTTCGGGGAAAGCCGCCCCAGTCGCCACCTCTTTGCTGGGAGACTGAGAGGCTACAGTGAGCTCGCCACCCCCCGGCGTGTGCGCAATGGGCGTGGGGTGCAGAGCGCCAGCGGGCAGCACAGTGGGAAGGAAGCCGGGGTAGATCATGTAGGTGGGCCCATAGGCTCCAGGGCTCAGTGCCAGGGGCGGCACTGGCAGCGACATGGGCGCCACAGCCTGCTGCTGCGAGGTCATGGGCACGTCCACGTATTGCCCGGTCTCGGGGTCGAAGAGCCGGCGCGTGGCGGGCTGTAGGGGGGTGTCCACCAGGTAATACTGACCCGTGCTTACGTCCAGCAGCATCTTGCGCTGCGTCTGCGGGGCCGCCGGCTGCGGAAAGGGATCGGCGGTGACCCCAGCAGGAACCCCGGCAGGGCCTGAGGGGCCAGGCAGGCCGGGCGGGGAGAAGCAGAGCACCTGTGCCTGTGCGCCCAGTGGGAAGGGCGGGGGCTGCGGATACACGGCCGTGGGAGCGCGCTCAGGGCTGCGCGGGCCTGCGGGAGCGGCTGCAGCCTCCCGGGGGCGCTCCGGCTTGGTGCGCCAGGCGGGACGGCCGGTCCCGCTGACCAGAGCGCCCTTGGGACTCCCAGGGGCCTGGCTGCGGGCACTCAGTGGGGGCAGGCTGCAGAGGGAGGTCGCGGAGGAGCCGGGCGGATCGGCTCGTAGGGGCACAGCCAGATAGTTATCACCGTCGCCAGTGACCTTCTCCGGAGCGGAACCTCCCTTCCGGGTGGCCGCCTCGTCGGGGGGCGCCTGGGTGGACAGAGAAGGTTTGGGCGATCGGGTGTCCTGAGGCTTGATGCTGTCCGCAGAGGACCCCTGAGGAAACTTGCCAGCGACACCCCCAGTGGCGCTCACTGTGGACACCTGTCGGCCGCCAGGCAGCGGAGCGAGGGGCTGGGTGCGCTCGGCTCCCGCAGGGACGTACAGGGACCGCGGCCGCTCTCGCGCCAGGTTCTCAAAGGCGGCGGCGCGCGCGGACACGCTGTCGGCGCCGGGGTTGGAGTTCCTGCGCCGCAGGGTCCTGCTTGCCGGGCTGCGCGCCTCTGCTTCCCCTGCGGGCCTCGTCTGCCTTCCGGGGTCTCCCTCGCGCCGCGCCGCCGCTGCGTCCCTCTCCTCACTGGCGATGAGCGGCAGCACGTGGCTGTCGGCCATCCCTGGCAGGGGGTCACTCCTGCGCTTCCAAGAGCTCGCGCCCAGGCTGTACCGCTCCTCCATGGACCGCACCGCGGCCGTCAGCTTTTCCAAGGCACCGCGCGCCGGGGCCGCGGCCCTGCGCTCCTCCCGCGCGTCCTCGTCGCGGGGCCGTTCGGGGCTCCTCCGGGCCGAGGCCTTGGTGACGATCTTGAGCACAGGAAGGTAGGAGCCCTGCTCAGGCTTGTTGGGCGCGATAGTGGCCACAGGCAGCCTGCCGGACGCGCGGTGCACCAGGACGGTGCCCTCGGGGGAGGTCGCGCCCGCCGCCCCGCCGCACGCCGTGCCCTGCCCTGGCGTGCGGCCCGTGCCATCGTCCTTGCGGTTCGTCACAGCCTGGCATGTGATCACCACGGGCGACAGCGACCTGTGCGGCCGGGGCGCCGCCAGCCCTTGCTCTGGCGTGACGCTGCCTTTGTCGCCGCTGTCACCAGATCCTTTGATGAGCTTCCTCACGTCTCTCACCTGGTGGAGTGGGCCCTGAGCCTTGGACTTGTCCCTGACGTCCCGCACCTGGAACTGAGGCACCTTGTCCAGACCATCCCCACGGAACGCCCTGGGTGGCGCTCTGCCTCCATCGTCGCCAGCTCTGGGGGGATTGGGGGCGCCGCCTGCTAGCCGCGGTGTGAGCAGCTGCGCGATGCTGAAGTCAGCCCCTGGCTGCCGCACGCTGCCGAGCCGGATCTTGATCTCGGGGGCCCGGGCCCGGGCGGCGGCCGGGGGTCCCTGTGCGGCCGCGTGCTTGGTAGCCTGCTTCCCCGGCGGCCTGTCCTTGGGCGCCTGCTGGATGCCGGGCACGAAGAGGCGAGACATGAGGGTGGCCTTGCCGGCGGAGATCTCCCCAAGGTCCGCCCTCCAATCCCCCGCCGCGCGCGGCCCGGACCTCTCGCCGGCGTTCACGTCCTCCTCGGGCGCCGCGGGGTCCTGGTCCCCCCAGGAGCGGAACGCGCTGTTCCGGCTGCGCAACAGGGCACCCTGGGAGCCGCTGTCTGACGGTACCCTTCCGGCCTCGCGGGGCGCACGGGCTTGGAATACGGGAGAGCGCGCCCCGCCGCCCGAGACTTCAGAGCCCGCCTCTGACACGCGCGAGCTCTGCCTCTGCAGGCCGCGCGCGCGCTCGGGCCCCGGACCGGCCTCGGGCTCTGAGGACGTGTCGCCGACCTCGCCACGCTCCATGCGGAACTCGTGCTCGCGCCGCATTTTCTTAGAGATAACATTCTTGAGCAGGCTGGACGCAAACGTGGACTTGGAGTGCGCGCCATCGGCGCGGGGGGCGGCGTTGTTCCGGGCGGGGGCGCCCCCTACTCCGGCGGTGGTCTTGCTCTCACTGCGTAAACCCAGCGGCTCCAGCACTGTAACCACGCGTGGCCCGTCCTGGAAACACAGCGGCGTCTCCACATGCTTGATCTCCCCCTCCACCTTACTGACCACGAACTCCAGCGCCTTGCTCTGCGACCTCCGGGCCTGCGCGCGCGGCCGCTCCGCTCCATCCTGCCTCAGCCTCGCGGCCGCGCCCGCCGCACTGCCCCGAAGGCTCTGCTCCACGCGTGCACCAACACCGCCACATTTCAGGTCCAAGAAGGTGGACCAGCGTCCGAAGCCGGCCTCGGAGAGTGCGACTGAGGACTCGCGCGAGCTGACACGCAGCGCCTCGAAGCAGGGGTAAGCGAGGCTGCGGAAGGCGCGCGCCGTGAGACTGCGCACCTCCTGGTCCGCGTCGTCCAGCTCGCTCACAGCGCTGGAGGCCCCGCTGGAACGGTCGGCCGGTTCCCGGGCGCGCACGGCCCCGCCGCGGGGCTGCAAGCGAGCCGCTGCCGCCGGAGCGCGGAGGCTCATGGCGCCCGCACGCCCGGCGGCGCGCGCGGGGCTCTGCTGGGCGCGCCCCGGGACTTGCGCCTTTATAGCTCGCGCGCGCCCGGGGTCGCTGCTGGCCGGGCTGGGCGAGCGCGGGGCGACGGGGCTGGGCGGGGTGCTGAGGTAGCAGCTGTTGTCCTCGTCTTCCTCGGTGGCTGTGGTGACGTCCCCTGGGGTCTCGTCGCTGCCGCCGAAGGAGGCGTAGTCCGCGAAGGAGTAGATCACGTTGTTGTCCTCGAAGTCCCAGCGGGCGGCCAGCCCCACGTCGAAGTCGGCGTCCTGCTCCACTTCGCTCGGCTGGATCCCGCGCGTGGTGATGTAGTGCGCGTCCTCGTGCCCGGGGGGGCCTCGCGCGCCCCCGCCGCTCGGTCCTCCCGCGCGCCCCCGCGCCCCTCCCCCGGCCGCCTCGCCGTCGCTGTCGAAGCCCAGGGAGGATGAGGAGGTGGCCGGCGCCCCGGGGGACGCGGGGGAGCCGAGCGCCTCGGGGAGGCCGCGGTCTTCCGCTGCGTCTGCTGTGGAGGAGGAGGAGGTAGAGGTGGAGGAGCAGCGGCGCCCTGAGTCCGGAGGAGCGGGGCTGGCCAGGGGAGAAGCGGGCTTGGTGGGCAGGGCCGCGGCCCGGGGGCTCCCCTGCCGCGCACCCGTCTCCGTCTCCGGGGCGTTTTCTGGCGGCTGCCCCTCAGGGTCCCCAGCGCCGCTCGCCGGGTCTCCTGCTGCCGCCCGGCCAGTGTCTTCCATGCTGAGTCCTTTCCTGGCTCCCGGAGATAGGAAGAGGCGGTACAAGGTGCCAGAGCTGCCCTGGAGGGACAGTGAGGCCCCGTGGGCGGGGGCTGCGAGCACCTCGGGCTCTGCTGCCGCCTGCAAGGATTTCAGCCCCGGTGTCTTGGCCGGGGCCAGGCGGAGGGACCAGGCGGCAGAGGGGCTCTGACACCGGGGGGCCGCGGCTCCGGCTGAGACCGCGGCCAGCCTTCTGCAGCTGAGCCTTCCTGTCCAGCAGCTGACCTGGCACCGTGTGCCGCCAGAGACCCGAGTGCCATCAGCCCCGGAAGCAGCAGCATCCGTAGGTCGACCCCTGAACTTCCAGAAATGAAAAGAAAGCATGGGCTGCCTCTTCTAAAGCCTTGTCCCGTTCCTGAATGGGGCGAGAGAGGGTCACGTCATTCCTGAAATATTTTTAGTGGCCATTCCCTGTACATATCGAAACCACACTTGAGAATAGAAGGAAGGAGGCTCTGAGAGATGGAAACAGAGGCCGGGGGTGGCGACGCGTGTGGGCCCCGGTTCAAATCAAGGCGCCTGTGGCAGCAGCGAAGTGCAGCACAGAGGCAGGCATTCCTTGCTCGTTGCCATCTCTCCAAAGTCTCCAATTTAAATGGATTTTCCCCTTGTTATGAAACAAATCAAGCGTTGTATTGTGCTTCCAATTAATTAAGGATGCTCTGGAAATACTTCAAAAATCCCGGTTTTACATACAATAGTTTTATATTTGCCTCAAAATCTGGACGTTTTCTTTCTTTTTGGAAAGCCAACTCAGATGAGTTCCAAACATAGCGAAACTTCATAAAAAAAAATATTTCATCTATTTCTCTGCAAAATTATGCTCTGAGAGCCATAACTTGTCTTTTGCATTGGTTTTGCTTTATTTTGTTGCGTTTTTTGGCTTAGTTTTGTTTCCAAAATAGGGAGAATCCCCTTATAATCCTTACTCTCATTGCTCAAAATATAAATGGGTAGTTTTCAAAGACCTAAAACTTAGCACTTTGGGTAAATGTTAAGTAATGGTCACTAAAAAAAAGAGCACCTACACCAATACTTACACTACTATAAATCCCTACAATATCTTACCCATCTCAAAAAATGGTTCCTTAAACTTTAAAACGATACAAGACAATAAACTTGCAATTAAATATAGCCTGAGCTTCAGGCTCATGATTGGGTTACGCTGGCGGCATTCCAGGTCCACAGGGAAGAACAAGGAATATGCTTACCCTTTGTGAGTACAGTGCGGCTCGGAGGGAGGCTCAAAGAGGAAACTTGAGCCGCTGGCATGCTCCTGGGAGTGGAGCCAGGAGCCATGCTTGTGGGCTCCGGGCTGCAGCACTGCAGAGGAGCCAGTGACTGTGCCCAAGTCTGCCAGCACCCACAGCGGGAGTCCATGTTGGCCACACTCTGAGCAGAGCCTCGGCACTGTCGGTGGAGACCTACATCCTGGTTTTGATGAGATCTGGCCTTCATCACCTGCCAGGCCCATTTCTGCCGCTATGCATAGTTCATGTGTCAGTAATGCCGATTGAATAAAGTCCTATTTTAAACATCCACATTTGTGGGCCACAAAAATAACACCATCAGCCATCCCCTTCCAACTTGAATGCCTCCCCTACACAGAAAAGCGTTCCTTCCTGTGCTCTGCGTGTGGGCAGGTAGGACACTGGGCCCTTGGCACTGAGCACCTAGTTTTTCACACTGGAGTTTGTGAACACACCTACCTGTCTCCCTGCAATGGCAGCTTGAAAACATGGTGTCAGTAAACATGGAGACAAAAGGAGTCAAGGGGCGGGTGCAGAGCTCAACACAAGGTGGAGCACGTCAGAAGAAAAAGAAGCTGCACCGAGTCTTAGTTTCCTGGTGATAATAATAATTATATTTACGATTTATATGTTGCTTAGTATGTGCTGGAAGCACTTTGTAATGTGTGTATTTTATTTAATCCTCATAAGAATCTGATGTTTTGTTTGATAATTGTTCTGATTTCTTGGATGGGGAAGCTGAGGCACAGAAATGCTAGGGAATTGTGTAGCAGGATTCAAACCCAAGCAGTCTGGCTGCAGAGCTGCGTCTTCATCATGATGCTGCACCCCTTGCCGACTTCCGCATTCACGGGACACCCAGATCATCAGTTAGGGGTGACTTAGCCTCTGTGTGGCCACAAATTAACCAACTTAGTGGTGTTTTTCATATTATCAGCCTGTGTACACATTGTGAACTCTGGGATTAAGGAACATGGTCCTATAAATAAATTATAGTTGGCACCTTCAGGAGCGCAGCATATTTTCAGTTCCCACGTAAATTTGGTTTTGAGGCTGACAGTGCCTAGACCAGTAAACCTGATGAGGGCTTGAGCTCCGGGAGGCACGCACGCTCCGTAGCTGAGTGGAAGGCAGAGTTTCTGCTCATTATGCAATCACAGTCCAGGGAAGAGTTGTTCCAGCACTTTCCATATGCCCCTGTCTGTCAAGATAGCACAAAGATCTCAGCAGAGCTCGCCCTGCAGTAGGAAAACTATAAAACTACAAGGTCAGATGTGTGGGGCGTAGGTCAAGCCTTAATCACTGAGTACCCAGAGTTGGAAGGAGAATCTCAGTCGAGAGTCTTGCCCCTTAGTCCCCTGCCAGAGAAGAAACAGAGAGGTTGTTCTAAAAACCGGTACTCACCTCTAGACGCCAGTGCAGCTCCTTTTCTGCTTTCTTCATAAATAAGTGCCGTGTAGGAAAATATCTGAAGGAAGAATTTTTTCAAGTAAATTTCAAAATATTGCCTTTACTTCAAAACTTAAATTCTCTTTAAAAATATGACAAGCTGAAAATTTGGATTAGGCTATCTGTTAAAAGGAAAAAAATGCCACAATTGAAAAACAAAAGACCAGCTTCAGGGGGAGCAAAGTAGAATACTTAGGAACTCCAGACAGCTTGTCTTGTGGTATTTTCCTGAATTCTGGTCCACTTATGTTGTCCTCAAAACAGATGCTGTCAAATATGTTGAAGTAACGTCTAGCCATTGAGCCTTTTATCCCTCCCTATGACGTGTTATCTTTTTCTTACAGATGAACTCAGTGATGCCAGTCTAACCTCAGCTCTTGAGCAACTGAAAGTGACTAATGTCGCCAGCATTAACTTGTAGTAAGCAGGTACCCTTGCTAGAACAGGCAAGGTACACTTGGTCGGTCACTTTATATGGGAATTCAAAGAGCAACAAAGGAAATGACTCAGCATCCTCACTTTTATGCTCATAGAGAAAGTTTCTTAGCATTCCCTGAAAGTCTTGTAGGGTACATCACAGTATGTAAAACTTTAAAATGACTGAACACGTAAAGAATGAAGGCCAGAACATCACTAGTTATAAAAGCATATGGGTACACTTCGGGTCTCGAGAGTGGCATAGTACACTCAAGATGTCACTCTAAAAGAAGGCCATTTCATTCAAGGTAAAACTCTGGGCTAGCCATGAAAATACTTAAACTTGGGCTAAAACTTGGACTTAGACAGAAGCTCACCAGTCACGGACATCTCCAAGTTTCTGAGGTGTGATGGGTGACGGGAATTCTTGCCTTGCCTATGTTCTGTGTAACTCCAAAACATCTGTACAGCTATTTGCCCACTCGAATGTGAAGGAAGCCTCTTCTCCTACTTCTTCAGCTACTTGTCTCCTGGCCCCAGTGGGCACACATACAGGAGTTATGTCTGCAGGAGAAGCACCCGTGCTGAGGCTACCAAAGGGTGTTTAGTTATGGCACAAATGCTTCCCGTATTAGCAATAATCAGTCCTCTCAATTGTACTGTGAAAAAGTTGTTATTCTCATTTTATGGATAAAATAATGGAGGCTGAGTGAAGATATGATATGAACCCTTTATGACTCTACATGATCAGTAAGGAGCCCAGGCTGGAGCCCAGCTCTGAGGGGCTCCAGCCTACACTCTGTTAGCCAGTTGATGATGTGGAGGTCACAGGGCCATGTGTATGGGTGCCATTGATACCACTCCACAGCCTCAACCAGCTGCCTCCACCCTCGGAGTCCAGGAAACAGAGTAAACAGAGATGGGATTAGTATGAAACTATCCTGTGAGCAGAAAAACAGCATGAGCCCTGAGGATAAACAAGTAGCACTGTCTTCTTGTGTGCAACAGAGAACATCTCTGGAGAATTGCATGCTGCAGATGCAACCCCTTAGCTGTGACCTTAAAACTTGGAAGGGCAGGAAGGAGCAGGTCACTACCAGAAATACAACTTGCTAGCAGACACTTGGGGCTGCACAGAGGCAAGAGGGCACAAGACGGGCTTTACTTTTCTAGTGGGGTATCAGCGAGTCTGTCTCTTCTGCCCTCCCTTCTCCACCTCCTGCTTTCTGAAAGCTCTCCAGGCATTGCCCCTCCTCCTGACCCCACTGCTCTTCTTCCCTTGGTCTGTGGCTTGTTATTGAAGGCAGTAGTGGTTGAATCTGTCTTTCCCTTAGTGGAACTGTGAGGTCTCAGCGTTTCCAATCGTACTGGATAAAGGAAATTTATCCCTTCCAAATTCATCCCTCAAGGTGAATCAGTTAGCAGACAGAGCTTTCTCCATGCAACAACGACCATTTAAAATAGCCCCACTGTAAGTCTTGGTCCATCTTTCCCAAAACCTCGGTCTGTACTTCTGGCCTGCACGATGCAGGTTGCACAGGGAATGTGCCAACCATAAGAGTTTATGATGAGGTGTCCCAGAGAGACCCCCGTACTCATAGATGGGGGCTGTGGAAAGTGATTGGATCATGGGGCTCATAGCTGACTTACAGTTAGGAAGTGGGTTCTGGCTATAAGAGGCAGACAAGTTGTGGGGCTGTGGCCTGGAAGGTTTTGTCCCCTCTGCAGATCCTGCTCTGCTCTCTCTGTCACAAGCAGTGCTCCTTGCCCCCTATACCGTCCTGCCTTGGAGACAGCTGCTACAGACAGAAATCTCTGTAGAGTGCGAACCAGAATCAACCTGGTCTCCAAGTTATGGGGGCCAGACGTGTACCAGCCATGAGGAAAGTGACTGTAACCAAAGATATCACCTTCCCAATGGATGAGACTTTTGGTGGACATTTTAGATCTAAACAATAACAATAGGTTATTAAATGTCATTATGAGTTTTTAAGGTAGAACTTATACCAAAATGAAATTATTTGCTTTTTTAGGGCAATGTACCTCAATTTTTTGAGAATACAATTTAGTCTCCTCTCTTGTCTGGTCCCCTTGAGTAGCTAAGAATGATTTACAAATAATGAATTAAAATATTATATTCTCTGAGCATTATTCATATACTGTTTATAAATAGTAACATTCAAAGTCCTTAGAAATGATGCTTAAAAGTTGGCAAAAAAAATTCCCTCGTGACCTTGATTACTTTCTAAATTTACTTAGTGAAAATTTTAAAATTAAGCAAAGATAAAATTCTGAATGCATCATTATCAAGTAATACACATTCAGAATCCATCTATCTTAAATAATGACTTTGTAATTCAACTCAACAGTTGAGACAGATTCAGACGAGGCCTCTGGAGTGTGCCGCGCAGGCAGCTCTTCACCAACCTCATCACTACCTGCAGTGGAATTCTTTACTATGGGCAGTGCAGCCCATGTGTCATGTAGGGACCTCCCAGCTCAACACAGATCAGAGAACACACAGACTTTCATCGTTCTGTTTGCCTCTCTGGGACCTCTGCACCAGAGCGGTCTGCTGCCAGCAGTCACAGGTGACAAAGGGCACCAGGAGATCTGACTTTGAGCACTGAGCATCTGGGCTTAGTGGGATTACAAAGGAAAGAGGAATCAGCCAGATATATTTCAGGCCAGCAGACCCTTCTCATGTTTATGACAACATGTTTTCCTAGTAACAGTTTATTTTGCTGAAAAGATTTAAATAAAAACCCCCAGAGACTCTTGAGAAGATGGTTTCACATTCCCTAGTCAAACACCTGCCTGATTTTAATGTGCTACTATTTTTGTCTCTGAAAGCATATGCTCCCTCCCAGAAGACATGAGCTGGTCAGTGTGTATTCACCATCCACACAGCCTCTAAGAATAGAAGTAGGAAGAGGCTGTTCTGGCTGTGTCTCTGTGCCCCTCACAGCTACGAAGCAAACTCAGAGGCAAGAAAAACATTTCTCTCTATGTTAACACTTATTTTCAGAGCTCACAGAACTGTCTGCATTGACTTGGGAATATCTCCCAGTTAAAAGGTCTTCTCATGTTGACTTCTCCCCAGTGTCTTAGTGTAACCGAAGTGGTCTCTGCTCAGTTCTGGGGAATACCTTCCAATTGATCAAAACACTCACAAGCTGCTCACTTCCTGTTTTCTTTCTGGTTGGGAATTCTAGTGTCTGGCTGGGAAAGACTCCACTTATTAACAAGCAAGTTATGATTAGCACTTGAAACCAGTTTAAGCCATCTAATGGACCTTCTGCCTCACATTTAATTGTATTACAGGCTGCTCACTGGCCGGACTCCTAGACACAATTTAAAATAAAAATCAAGTAAGGTCTGAACTACCCTTGGAAATCTCTTAAGGCTCTCAAAAGTCTAATTTCAGGGTTTTGAGTTTACAATCCCATGTAATACTCATGTGAATGCACATAGTTATGTACAATAAATATAGCGCAAGCTTATTTGGTAATGAACACATTTGTGGCCATTTGGGAACTGTGGGGGAAGAGAACAAGAAGTCACCAAGAAGCAAGCCCTTCCTAAGAACCAGTGCCATGCACGGGCCTCCACTGCTGGGCGGACAGCCAGACCCCAGCCTGTTCCTGTGAGTCAGCGCCATTTGCAGACTGCAAGAGAAGAGAACAAGAATCCACCAAGAAGCAAGCCCTCCCTGGGAATCAGTACCATGTACGGCTGCCGCCACTGGGCAGACCCCAGTCCCTTCTGACACAAGGACTGGGAAAGAAGAGCAGAAACCGTGGCCCCAGCCCCCATAAGCAACTGGCTTATCCCAAGAAACACAGGCTGAGATGGTAGCTATTGGGGTGAAATGTAATTTGATGCTTGTGGTATTTGGTGTTTCACTGACTTTGCAAATCTAGGGCCGGTGGTGTGATCGTCTATTCAGAGGATAATAGTATACACAGTGTGGCATCTGGGAGGATCTCCTTCTGAAGGTAGTAGCCATTGTTGATTCCCTATTGTCTTGATTTGGCATCCTGTATCACTTTCATTGTTTTGTTGGGTTGGGTTTTATTCTCTTGTTTTGTTTGATTTTGTTATATCTGATGGTTTGGGCAGCTATTTCAAAGATATCAAGATATATTACGGTAGCCATTTTGGATTTACTGTTGTCTTGTTTTGAAGTCCTCTATTGCATTCATTGTTTTGTTTTAATTGGTTCTATTCTGCTCTTTGTTTGATTTTTACAGTGTCTGAATGTATCTGCAGCTATTTTGAAGACAACAGGGGGCTTTATGGTAACCATTGTTGTTTTTGTATTGTTTTGAAGTCCTAGGTCATTTATATTGGTTTGTTTTGTTTGCTTTATTGTTTTATTTTGCTTGGTTTTATTCCCTTTAAAATAAAAAGAACGCACCACATTTGTAAAGTAACATTTTTAAATGTTTCGTTTATGGAGACTCCACCCTGGCTGAGTTTACCTAAATCAAATGCAGTTGAATTCAAGACAGTACTCTGCCTCAGAAGTTGGATATGCCCGCTGACCTCCAGCTTCCATCCTGAGGCCTTGCTTTCGGCTGTAGGCATGGGAAAGTCCATTTGGAAACAGTTGGCATCTTAGACACTGATTCTGTGAAAACACTCAGGAATACCACTGACCATATTAGACAAGTCAACCACAAGAAGCTGCTATCTAGGCTCCACCATCTTATTATCAAAGGCAAATCATTTTTTATTTCCCAGCCACAGCCCTGATATTGTCAAATTCCTATTAGTTACTTCTTTTAGTCTGTAAAATGATTCATTAACCTAGTAAATTTGTGTACAGTATTAGAGTTTTTTAAAAAGCTATTGCGCTTTCTATTCCTTAATTAGTGGTACGCAATCAAATTTAAATTACAGAAGAGGTTGGTATGAGTTCCTTGTTTACATGCGTGTAAGTGTGTGTAGGAGGAGTGGAGTGTGGGGGACACTCGGTTTTACAGCCCTAGACAGAGTGCTGAGATCTGTGGCATGGACTCCTCCACATACTTTGGCACTTTGCCATGGATGGAGGTCTTGTCATTTCTGCTCGTAGGGCTTCACTTTCTTCACCTTCCTCTGCTACTGTCAAAGAAAATACATTGCTGATGGCCCAGTGGCTGGGCTCATGTCATAGTGAGAAGCTGAAGAACATTTCACCCTGTGTCTGGTAAGCAACAGCATAGACCCTTACCAAGACACAGGACAACCCTGTAGAGTGGGGAAGAGATGGCTGAGAGGTCTAAGGGAAGGTTACAGGAGGTAAAACCTGTCATCCAGCATGCTGTGAGCTCTAGCTGTGGCCAGCTGTTCTTGCCATTATTATAATGAGCATCCGAAGACTTCAGACCTTTAGGGCCAATCTGGTGAAGTGTCAATCACTCACCCAAAATACTGCAAAGTAATCCAAGAAGCTGAGTAGAACTTGCCATTCACCCTACACACTCAGAAACAAAGAGGATTCAGCCACACCTTTCAGCTTTTAGCCTGCAGGGGACAGAAGTGGTGGGCTTACAGTTTTCCTGCTGGATGAGTAGGAATCAGGAGGAATAATGATTCCATATTCCATTTACTTCGGTCCACTTACTTTATAGGTGATAAAATTGGGGACAAGATAGGCATCAAGGTCACAACACTGGTCATGATCACTGATAATGGCATTTCCTTACTTGTCAAACTCAGTAGAGAAAGCAAAACCAAAATCATGTTTAACAATGGTACAAAAACTCAATCTATTCTTTCTTAAAGTGAACTGCATATAGTTTTAAAGTCAGTCCTACTATGGATCATTAGCTAGCCTCAAACATTTGGACATATTTGACCAAACATATAGCTGAACATTCCCATAAAGAGTAACATATGTGTTTCATTATCACCTTAAAACCAGATCATATGTCTGCAAAAGGAGTACTCAATAGGAATATAAATAATAACTACACTTAAATTCATCACTAAAATGTTGTCTGCGTTGGCTCCCTGGTCTGGGGTGCTGTCATAAGTATGCCTGCACCATGCCTACGTCATCACGGGCTAGGGAAATGGTGCAGGAGCGAGGGTGGTGGGATGCGGTGAAATCAAGTTAGGGTTGCTGTAGCCGCAGTCTTGCATGTGTAAGAAGGAGTAAACAGAGGCCACTACAGCACACGGCTGCAGAGATTCCACCCTTTACCTCAGACAGAGTCGCTTGGGTTCCAGTCCAAGGCCAGGTGACGGGGTCTTGTAAAGCAAGGCTTTGCGGGGAGGTGGTAGAAATGTCAAATTGGGCTTCATGGAAGAACTCTCAATCTCTTGGGGGAGGGGCGGGGATGTAGCTCAGTGGCATAATGCCACTTGACAAACACAAGGTCCTGAGTTTGATTCCCAGTATCAAAAAAAGAAAAAGAAAAGAAATAAAAAAGAAAAAATGAAACAATGAATCACTGGGTGTGTCCCCAAAGGGCGCTGTGAGACCCAGGGCCGCTCCCTCATGGTGGGCCACCACAGGCCAAAACAGCAGGATCAACTGGTCCTGGACTGAAACCTCTAAAACTATGAGCCACAGGAAACCTGTTCTTTCCACAACTGAGTATCAGGTATTTTGTTATAGTGAAGAAAAGCTAGCATAGCTTACAAGGTGAACACAGCCAAGTTTACCTTCTCTAAGGTCATTCTTTTTGTGTGTGTGTGTGTGTGTATGTTTTTCGTTTTTATCGGTACCAGGGATCAAACTCACGATTGCCTGCTTCCAAGGCAGGCGCTTACGCCGCTGAGCTAAATCCCCAGCCTCTCTAAGGTCATGCTAAATCATTGTGTTTATTTTCAAGAAGCTTCATACACTTCTTGCACTAAAGAACATGGACAAAAATAAATTAGTTTAAGTTTTTGCCTGGAAAGTGTTCTTTGGCAATCGTGTGGCAATGCTCTATTCTTATTTCCTCACTCTCTGAATTTGCAAGGAAATGTAGATCCTTGCACTCACCACCATTGTCCTGTCAGTCCCACCCTGATATTTAACAGATCCATAAAAAGTGCAATGGCCACACATTCCCAGGGATCTTCAGTTCTGTGCTTCCTGGTAGGACAAATGTCTTTTAGAAAACCCCTTACAACTGCTCATCTGTATGTCTCTAGCTTTGAGCATATTCTGACATATAGCAACATAAATTAATAGCTCAACTCTTCTTGGTAACCAGAACTTAGTGGAAGTTTGAATATGAAATGGTTTTTGTGATAGAAAGTACCAAATAGCTTCACTGGAATCCAGAGGAAGATACATCTCTTCATGGGAGACAGTGGCCACCAAAAGATATCAGACCTTGTGGCCAGTTTAAGACAGGCCAGTCCCAGCCTCCTGGAAGAGCAGCTCCGGTTGTCACCAGTGAAGTTGGGAATACACCTGAGGGCAAATGTGACAGACTCGGTCGAATGGGAGAAGGAAACTCAACAGGAGGCTGTGTCCCTGCAGTACATGGCCAGGGCAAAGTCAGGAGCAATGAACCAGGGGCCAGAAAGAAGGAGAGCTTGAGCCAGGCGGTCTGAGGGTGTGGCTGGGAACAGTCAAAGCTGTGACTGTGGAAATGCACCCGCGTAGAGCCTGATAGGAAGCTAGAAAGGAGAACTTCAGAGCAGGTAGACAAGAGGATCCCTGACAAACAGGAACAAGAGCACCAGGTCACGAGTCTAAAGCGGAATCTGTGAGTGATTTACCTCCCAGAGCTTTATCCTCCTGGCTCCACAAACACGGCTCTCGTGAGAGCACCATGACTGATAAGCTGCATATTGCTACATGCAACAGTTGGGTCTGCGCATTTTTCCAGCAGTACTGGGCGGAGTAGAGAATTCACCCATCTTGATTATAAATTTCATTTCACTTCCAAGATGCTGCATCATCTGGGTGTCCCTTCCACCTCAGGACCTGCCCTTCCTCAGCCTTTCCTGCGAGTTCCATGCTCTCAGGTGATTCTACTCTGCTTCACCTTGGGCTCCACCACTCAGCACAGTGTCTACACCAGACTCTCAGGTGAGGATCCCCGCTCTGACCCTAGCCGTGCACACAGACTCCTGTCTCTGTGAGGGTGCCTGCGCTCAGCATGCTCCCAGTTGAATTCCTTACCCTGTCCCCAACCCCTTACACCTGCTGTCTTTCTCATTTCAACAGATGGCCAGCCCGGCCTTCTGGAAGCTCAGGCCAAAGCCCAGGTGCGTGCCCTGAGCTGCCGGCTCTCACCCGTGGCCCAGCCTCGCCAGGCCCTGGGGCCCTGGCCGCCTCACACCACTTCCTTTGTTTGCTCCTCTTTCCTTGGCCTCCTTCTCCTCCCTGGATTGCTGTTGTCACCCAGCATCCCCCTTTCCCCTGCAGGACTCAAAACATGCCACTGCTCCTCTTAAAACTCTTCCCTCCCAAGTAAACCCATTGGCTTTCAGCTATCCTGGCCCTTTGTGAGAGGGTCCTCCTGCATCTTGCCCCTCAGCCTGGCTTCTTTCCTCTTGCCAATTACTCAAAACGTGGTGGCCTCTGCCCTGTTTGAAGCACCACTGCTGTTTTCCTGGGCTGTCCCTTCCTACCCGGCCCTCATCCTTCTTGTGGCTGGCTCCTTGCCCTCTTTTCAGTTCTGCCCTGAAATACGGATCCTCCACAAATGCTCCGGGAATAGAACTCACAACCTTGCACTTGCCAGTCAGGTGCTGTGCTGCTGAGCACATCCTCAGTCCCGTCTACAGCTTCAGCTGCTCCCAGCCCCACTGCTCTCCATGTCCTTTCTCTCCTCACTTCCTCCTCGGCTGTAGGATGAGCCCCTGAAGCTTACCAGCCTTTGTGAGACTTCCTGTGCTTGTGTCTCTTCAGTCTAGATTCCAAGTCTTGCCTGATAGGTAGCTGGCACCCTGTGCATTCCTGTTATGAAAAGCCTGGCCCTATATTAAAGGGATGAGCCACCCTGCTCTGTGGAGAAAAGCCTCTGGGACAAGGGTCAGGATGAAGCCGGAGACCAGGTGGGAGCCCTGGGCCATGGCCAAGTGGTGGGCAGGAGCGGGGTGCTCCTACCTCTGGGCCCACTGCAGTGAGCAAATGCGGGATGCCATGTCCCTATCCAGCCCTGCTCCAACTCTGACCCAACCTTTCTTGGTGTTCTCTGTCTGTCCCACTGTCTGTCTCTCTTTCTCTCTCCTTCTCTGTCTCTTTTCTTCTTCTTTCTTTGGTGGTGCTGGGCTTTGTGCATGCAGGGCAAGAACTCTAACGCTGAGCCACATCCCCAGCCCCTGGAAATGTTCTGTTAAAGGCCAATTTAGATGTTAATATCCAGGTAAACCTTCAGCAACTTCAGCCAAATGTGTTGCCACTTCTTGTTTCCACAACATCATGCCCATAGTATAAACCTTAGGATACATATCTTTACATGGGCATCAATTTGTGTTCCCTTCTAGATCGTGAGGCCTTGTGGTCCAGCAATGTTTTTTGATTTTTATTTATATACCTAACCTGAGATTAATGCTTATCTCTGATAAATGGTTAGCAAATAAATAGCAGTTATTTTAGTTCAACTTCAGTTCGTTTTATTTCCAAGAGGGATAAATATCTTTTTGCTTTAAACAACTTGAATCATAAGGCAACAGCAAATACCAGAAAGTTTTTTCATACATTTTTATAATTTTTAAATAGATTAAAGCAAAAATAAAAGGTCATCATTTTTGTAATTTTTAAATGCAGAATTCAAGCATATCTTTTTTTTAACCAGAAAATTTTCAGAATTTCAGCCTGCCCCTTAAGCCCTGGGTTTCTAGCCTTGAAAGTTCAGCAGGTCTTTAGCCCTACAAGATCAGCTTAAGCCAGTTGTCCTGTCACTTGAAGCGTTTGGAAGGTGGCCAGATCTGCCCAAGAATTTCCCTTTATTTTCTTTCGCTCTGCCAGGCAGGCTCCGTGGCCCATTCGCAGAATCAAGTGTAAATCAACGTCTTTCATTAAAACCTTTCTGGGGAGACCAGCCCCACGCGGGGGCACAAGAGTGGAGCTACACGCGGTAGAAGCGGTTATTTCTCCACAGCGGACTTGCCGTGTTCATCCAGCACCTTGACGAAAGAGAGGCTCCGGCGTCTCCAGCCCGGCTATCACCTGGCCTGTTCTAAATATAGTGAACTCCAGTAAACAGCATCGTGAGCCTGCAGGGAGACAGGGCCACTGCCACCAGAAGCTCAAGCGTGCCTGTGTGTACTTGTGTCTTAGACTTTATCAACTGACAATCAGAAAATTCACTTTTATTTTAGAATCTGGCATCGAATCAGCCTCTGCTCAGTGCTTCTGATTTATTAACTAGAAAGAGCTCTGACTCAGGTCAGGGTAGATGAGAGTGAAGTTTAAGCAAAGACGAAGTGAGGCTCCCTGTGGCCTTACAGATGCCATCAAGCCCAGGCAGCTGAGAGATGCTGATCTTGCCGTCACTTTCTCAGTCAAACAGATTTGCCCTGTCTCGTTGAGACAGGTACTGCTTTAGACAAATTCCCTGAGCAGTGGCCACTGACACAATTATTAAAAACGCATCTCACTGAATGGAGCCTCATGGCCACCTGGTTCGGTCCTTGTTTTTGCTATCTGCTCACCTTTGGTACTGAAGGAGACTGAAGGTCCCCTTTCTGCGGCCAGCACCTATTTCTGGGCCTGTATTCACCCTCTGCTAAAGATGACCAGAAGAGAAAGCACCAGTGTGTGGCTCGGGAAGGAACCAGAAGCAGGTCTCCCTGAGGAGCCACTGGGGAGTGTGACAAGGTCCCCATGGTGAGAGGACACAGCAATCCGAGCACCAGGGGGACAGGGCCTGTGCTTTGTCGTCTGTGACCCCAGCCAGCTTTCCTGCTTCAGGACGTATTGTCTGGGTTCTACACAGAGCAGACTCGGGACCCCAGGCAGCGCGACTCCCACCACCCACCTTTTTAAAATGCTGCTTGACAGTTCCTTTGCTCCTCTCTGCCAATTTCTGCCTCCTTAGTTTACCACGCCAACCAAACACATCAGAATAACAACTTTAGAAGCAAACTTTTCAGTCTGGAAGGAGATAGGAAATGGGATAGATGTGGTGTAGCGCCATCCAAATGTGAGAGAAGTGATAACAGGGCAAAGAGGGCAGGTGGAATCAAAGAACTGTGGCTTTGTGTTCTGCTTTTTAAAACCTTTTCTTCTTGTAGCTGGTGCCTGTGTACATACTCTTGATGTGGTCAATCATTCCATCTTCAAAATAAGTGAAGACTAAGATTTCATGCATCTATAAAATGAGAGCACCACTTTCGTAAAATCTCTCTTTTACAAAAGACAAGTAGGGCACGTTTTTCTTTTTTATAAGAGAAATGCTTAACAAGTGGCTTTAAGTTCAAATTGTTCAGAAGAAACCTTTTACAAATGGCTGCCACGTGATAGAAAGAATGAAAGAGTCTGAACTAATGCCACCCAGACCACAGGCGCTTGTGACCTTGAGCCCTTCAGTCAGCTGATCCTGGAACCTCTGTTTCTTTTCCATGAAGCAAAGATAATAACACCTGCTTTACAGACTTATGGGGATCAAATGAAAGTAACCTGCTATGTAAAGTGGGGGGCAAGTTGCTCCCAATCCACATCTGCACATGCTTGGCCACACCACAAAGGGTGGGCACAGGGCTTCCTGGAAGATGGAAAACTGTCATGAGCTAATAGGAGGTGAGGGAACTGCGTGTTTCTCTGCCTCTGCAGACAGAAGGAAGAACATGCCTGTGCCCTTGCAGTGCAGATCAGATCAGGGACTGCCCTGCTGAGGCCTCTGCAGGTCCTGTGTAGGCCTTAGCTGACCTGGTCACTGGGTGCTCCGGCTAGTGGCCCTGATGGGACATTTTCCAGCATTCAGGCAACAGTACACTTAGGGAGGTTCTGTCACAGCCTGCTGGATGCCAAGGACTTTCAGAGTTTCCTTGGGGTCCTCCCCAGCTGCCTGAGCCTTGACTGTCTTTCGGTGTCTTAGACCAGATCCTAGGACTTCTGTACCTCTCCTGACCATTCTCCAGCAGTACACAGACAACCTCTGGACATATGTTTGTGCTGAACCAGAGCAGAGGGCTGCGGCCTTGCACAGGTCCCAGGCTCTGAGAACATTCCAGCCTCCACCCGTAGCTCAGCTGGAGTTTCACCACGCCGGCCTCTCTAGTCACACTCTAGAACTCTCTAGTTCTCCGAGAGGAAAACCAGAAGCTCGGAAATACACCTTGAATCAAACCTGAAGCTTGATCACATAGGAAATCTACTGTCTTTTATGAGCTCTAAAATGGTTTTAGCCATTTTAATCTAGCTCAGCAATCAGCATCACAAAGCGTTCCAGGTACAGGCATGTTTAATGCCATGGGGTCTGTTTGCTCCCCTCCACCCACATTGTCACTGCCCTGTTCAGGTCTTTAGTTTCTTTCTTCTGAGTCATGGTAACCATCTCCTGTCTCCTTCCTGTTAGTCTCCACTCCATCCTGCCCATTTTTTGTGTTGACAAGGTGAACCATCTAACCACAATTCCATCCTACAATTCCCTACTGGTAAGCCTTTAATACAAGCCTTCAGCACAAATCCGAACTCCTCGGGCTGGACCCCAGATCCTGCCTCTTCTGGCTCCTGCTCCTCCCTTCTTCACTAGCACTACCAAACCTTCCCAAGGGCGCCTTTTCAGCGTGCTCTTCCTTTTCCTAGAATGTACTTTTCCTGGCCCAGCCCAGCCTGGGTATCACCTCCCTGGAGAACTATTTGAAAGCAAAAATAGGAACTAAGAACTTAGCAAGGAAAATACTTCTTAGGCCCACAGAATATTGAGAAGTGGCAACGCTAAGAAAGTTCTGGTAGAAAGTCATGCTTGGGTCTCCACACACGTGATTCACAAGTGTTAGCCAAGTCCAGAGAGGGACAGCAGTGCTGTGCTGTAGCTTCCTCCCAGACTCAGGCCAAGTGCCAGGACTAACATCAAGGAGATGGGCATCTGATGCCCAGAGCTGCTACCCAGAGACAGCAGATGATGGAAGGGCCCCCAAAGCACCTGCAAGTCACCTGGGAGAAGAACGACTGAAGAGAGAGTCGAAACAGGCATGAGCTCAGGAATCAGAAAGACTTAAGCTCTGGCCGCAGCGTGTTTCGATCTTTGGTTATCATTTTAATGTGAAAGTCTTGGACTCTGCTTGAGCTGTCGCCCTGGGCCTCCCATGACTCTGGAATTCCAGATGTTCCTCCGGGGGGCTGAGAAGAAGGACAGATTGTCCTGTTCTCAGTTAAGGTGTACGTGAAGATATACAGGAAATCTGCTGCTTAAGATACACGGGAAATCTGAAAAGAGAGACATAAATGGAGACCACACAGCCTGCTCTCCAGAGGGAAGACACGTGGGGAGGTGACGGCTGCTGTCAGTGCCACCTGCCCTGACCCCTCAGGTAAGGTCCACGTGTTGAGGGTCCGCGAAGAACTTTATCTCCGAGCCACAGGTGCTTTAAATCCATTTATGTACATATTATACAAGTCAATGAAAGACAGTGAAAAGAGCTCTTTTTTGTGAATACTGAAGAGTGTTAGCAGGAGGAAACATATCACTAAAAATATTATTGTGGAATCACAAATGGATGAGTTAATTCTTTGGGGAAACACTATGAAAATGCACAGATTACTCAGACAGTTCCACAGCTATTTTGGAGTTCTGATTTCACCAGAATCAGATATTGGAAGTGGAATTCACCCAAAAGAGGCAATAAGCATGTTTCTAGACTTTAGAATAAAATATTTCCATAGACGCACATTGCTTTTATAATTTCTCATTTTGATTTTTCTCAGTTAACTGCCAGTGTGTGTAAAGATGTCCTTTCTGAAAATCAAGCCAACCCACCCCCAGCAACCCCTAGGATCAGAAAGTCACTGGCGTGGTTCCTAGTGGAGAGCTCTTCTGCTGAAGTGAACGTTGACTGGCCTTGCTCTGAACAGGTGTGCCAGGCCCGATGGCCACTACGGCACAGACAACACGGCCATGTCCAACGACAACAGGTGTCCCTGATTTTCAGTCTTTCTTAAATTTCAGCAGAGACTGCAGTACGGTAATGGAAAAAAGTTGGATGAGAAGGGAGACTGAGTAGAGAGGTGTGGTGAGCAGTGTGGCCTGCAGTCCGCGTGTCCTCAGTGCCAGACAGCAGCACGTGGCCAGCCCCGCACAACAAAGACATCCTGGTCAGCTCTCAGTGCCACCGACCTGAGTGACTTATCTTGTGTGCCAGCCACACACAGTCATCTTTCCAGAGACCGTGGTAACTGTTTACTACAAGATCGGCAGTGCCAGGCGTCAACAGAAATACGAGTCAGCTGGGCACGCACCAAGCAGAAGATGGGCATTAGTTCATGAAAGTTGTGTATGCTCTTCTGAAAATGGAGTGTAGGCCCATGGTGTGTCCAACAGTTTCATAGGAGACTAATAATTTACATTAGGAAGAGTATCTGCAATTAAAGTGCAGCCTTTAGTTAACATTAAATTTAGTTAAATCACACATACAAGCCTTCTTACCCCCACAAGGGCCCAGGTGGGTGGGTCCTCCAAACTCTGAGAGCAAATGCAGCCTATATGCATGCCCTGCAGTGCCCATCTTCTGCCCTCCTCCTGCCAGAGCTGTCAGCTCAGTCCGGATGTATACCGAAAGGTTAAGATCACTGTTTCTACATTGTACTGTTCAGCCACTTGTCTTATGCTTTTTATTGAGATATAATTAACATTTGTAAAACTGATCTTATTTGACATAATAGTTATGCCGTGGAGTATGATATTTAATAGTCATCTACATTATGAAACTTTTTTTAAAGACAAAACAGAAAAAGGGTAGAAATAATAATTTCAAAAAATAAATAGTAAGAAATCAATAGCTGATAATGACATATTGTACTCTTACAAATAGGTGTTCAAGTTACAAAAGTGAAGCATACAATGTGGCATTCAAACAGTGAGACTGCAAACAGTTCTGTTCAACTATCCAACAAGAACTTAGTAATAGGGTTATCAATCCTACACACTTAAACATACACACAGTTATATCCTTTAGAGCACTTTCTTTTCCTCTCTTTTTTACAAGAGCAATTACACATTTTGGGTTTTATTTACTCCTACATTTCTTATTACTTTTTACACTAGAGAAACAATGTGATATTTATAAAGATGATTCTTATTTATTTCACTAATGAGGATAGCCTCAAGTTGTCTCCATTTGCCTATGAAGGCCTCAAGATCATCCTTTTTATAGCTGAGTAATATTTCATTGTATAAAAATACCACAACTTTTTCATCCACATTGTGGTTGATGGGCATCTTGGTTGTTTCCAAGATTTAGCTATTACAAATTGTGCTGATGTGAACATGGATGCACATATATCACTGTGATCTGACCTTTTGAGTTTTTCTTGGAAAACACTCAGGAGAGGAATCGCTGGACTGAATGGAACTTCCAATCCTAGTCTTTTGAGAATTCTCCATACTGATTTCCACAGTGGTTGCACCAGTCTACACCCCCACCAACACTGGAGCAGTGTTCCTTTTTCCCCACAGCCTTAGCAACATTTGTTATCAGTTGATTTCTTGGTGGCAGCCCTTCTTTTCAGAGTGAGATGCAATCTCAGTGCTACTTTAATTTGCATGTCTCAGATGACCAGTGATGGTGAGCATTTCTTCCTGTATTTATTTGCCATTTGTATATCTTCATCTGAGAACTGTGTGTCCATCTCAGATGCCCATTTTTGGAGAGGGTCTCTGAATTTGGGGGCTTGATGTTTTTCAGTTCCTTATATGTTCTGGATATAAGTCCTTTGTCTGAGGGGTTGCTGGCTATAATTCTTTCCCATTCTTTAGGTTTTCTTTTCTGTTGGTGATTTCTTTTGAAGTGCAGAAACTTTTCAATAATATGAGATTTCAGTTGTTGATTCTTTGAAGTATTTCCTGTGCAGTTTGCGTTTTGGTCATGAATTCTCTGCCTACCCCTATGTCTGCCTACCTTGTCTTCCAGTAGATTTAGTTTCTGTTTTAATATTTAAGTCTTTTATCCATTTAGACTTTAGTTTTGTGCATAGTGATAGGCATTGGTTTGGTTTCAGTCTACCGGCATGTGGAGAGCCAGTTTTTCCAGCACCATTTATTAAAGAGGCTATCCTTTTTCCAGTGAAGATGTTTAGCCCCTTTGTCAAATATCAGATGACTGAGTGTCTTTGTACTTGTGCTTGCATCTTCTAATCTGTTCCATTGATCCTCAGGTGTATTCTTTGTCAGTATCATGCTGATTTTATCACTGTGGCTTTGTAGTATAGTTTCAAATCAGTAATTGAAATGCCTCTTGCCTTGCCTGTGTTGCCCAGAATCACCTTTGCTATTCTAGATTTCTTCTGCTTCCAAATGAATTTGAGGAGGGTTTTCTCTAGAGCTGTAAGGTATGTTAATAGTATTGTGATTGAGATTGCATTAAATCTGTATAACAGTTTTGGGAGTATGGCCAGTTTCACAATGTTGGTTCTTTCTAGCCAAGAGCAAGGAATATCCTTCCATTTTCTAATATCGTCTTCAATCTCTTTTTCTAGAGTAGTATAATTTTCAGCATATAGGTCTTTTATGTTCTTGATTAGGTTGATTCCTAAGCATCTCATTTTTTTAGATGCTACTGTGAAAGGTGATATTTCCATAATTTCTCACTGAAGTGAGCTTTTTGTTTGTGTACAGGAATGCTACTGATTTTTGAGGGTTGACTTTGTATCCAGCTATACTGCTGAATTTGTTTATTACTTCTAGTAGTCTTTTAATGGGGTTTTTGGGTATTTTATACAGAGTTTCAAGTCATCTGCAAATAGTGATAATTTAACTTCTTCCTTTCCTATCTTGATTTCTTTTATTTCTCTTATCTGATGCTCTGGCTAGTGTTTCCAGAACTATATTGAATAGGAGTGGTGATAGTGGACATCCTTGTCTTGTTCCTGATTTTAAAGTGAAGGCGTTCAGTTTTTGTCTATTTATTATAATGTTGGCTGTTATTTTGTCATAGATGGCCTCTATAAGATTGAGGCAGACACCGTGTATTCTGAGTTTCTGAAGGATTTTTATCATGATCATGTGTTGGACTTTATCGAAAGCTTTTTCTGCATCTATTGATGTGTGGGTTTGGGCTCTGTTGATGTGGTGTATTACATTTACTGATTTGCGTATGTTAAGCCATCCCTGCATTCCTGAGATGAATCCCACTTCATCATGGTGTATAATCTTCTTGATGATTCGCTGCATTCTATTTGCCAGTATTTCATTTACAATCTTTGCATCAGTGTTCATCGGTGAGGTTGGCCTATAGTTCTCCTTTTTGGTTGGGTCTTTCTCTGGTTTTGGTTTTTGCCTCCTGAAATGATTTGGGGGGGGGAGGATTGCTTCCTTTTCAATTTTATTGAAGAATTTAAGGAGTATTGGCATCAAATCTTTTCTAAATTTCTTGTAAAATTCAGCCGTGAATCCCTCAGGACCTGGGCTTTTCTTTGTTGGTAAGTTTTTAATTATGGTTTTCAATTTTAACAGCTGATATTAGGTTATTTACAATTGCTATATCTTTCCGGTTGAGCTTTGGTAGTTCACATGTTTCTAGAAATCTGTCCATTTCCTCTGTGTTTTCCATTGTATGTGAGTAAAGATTTTTAGAGTAGGTATTCATGATCTTTTGAATTTCCATGGGATCTGTCGTAATTTCTCCCTTCAGTCCTTATTGCGTGAACTTGCATTTTTTCTTTCTTTTTCTTTATAAGGTTGGCTAGAGGTTTGTAAATTTTGCTTATTCTCTCAAAAAACCAGCTTTTTGATTCATTAATTCTTTGTAATTCTTTAGTTTCAATTGCATTGATTTCTGCTCTGATCTTGGTACAATTTCCTCTCTTCCATGAGCTTTTGGTTTAGCTTGCCCCATTATGAAACTATTAACACAATCAAACTAATTTGCATTTTCATCATCTCACTTAGTTGCCTTTGTTTGGTGAGAGCATTTAAGATCTAAGTATGTCGGATTTAACTGTAAAATGTAGTGTTATTAACCACAGATGCACATTATTATCTGACTATACTGTGCACATTCCCACTGTGATTAGCTGGGGTGTGCACGAGCTCTCCAGACTTATTCACCTTGCATAGCCAAACCCGGACCCTTTGCCTAACATTTCCTCCACATTCTAGCCCTTGCTCGAGTCACTTCTTTCTGCTTCTATGACTTCGCTTTCATTAGAGTGCGTATCTATGTGAGATCGGCAATATTCGTCTTCTGTGCCTGGCACGTTTCACTTAGCACAATGTCTACAAGGACCCTCTGTGCTGTCAGTTTACCAAGTGTCTCTCAGTACTCAGGTTGGATAATATTCTATTGTATCACGCATCACATTTTTTAAAATCCATCCTCCCACTGATGGACACATAAGTTGAGTAATCCTACAAAAAACACTAGAGTGCAGAGATCTCTTCAGTGCTTATTCACCTGGATATATCTCAATGGCATAGCACCTGCCTGGCAAGCATCAGGTCCTAAGTTTGATTTGCAGTAAAAAAAAAAAGTAGCAGATATCTCTTTAAGATATTGACTTCATCTTTTTTTTAATATATAATTGACCCTGGACACCATGAGTTTGATCTGTCAAAGTCAACATATATGCAGACTTTTTTAAGATTTGTGACAGTTTGGAAAAAATCATAGATAAACCACATAACCTAGAAATAACAAAGAAATTGAGCAAAAGATTAAGTACCTTATGATCATAT